GAAGCAATAAATCCCTCCCCAAACATCAAACAAGCCTTTCTCCTGCACCATGCATGTTTCTTCAGCAATATTTCTGTCTGCAGCAATGGGGAGAGCGTTACCACTGGTATAGAATAAATAAGCAAAACCCAAATCTGTAAAGACTGACATAATTTCTACACACGACCTCCGAAAAAACAAGCAATTTCATTAAGGATCCAGAGCAGAAATGAAAAAATCCCAAGTGTTTATTTGAGATTTTTATACTAATTTTGGCTCAAACCACAGCTAATCCTTCCTATCCCAACAGACACAGGAACCAGGATCACATGTTGTGATGCCTCTTATTCTAAAACGAGCTGGGAACTGGCTGCTTGCAAGTGGTGAACGCGCACACTGAGAACTGGGGCTGCTCACTGCCTCCTTTGCCAAAGCCTAGTTTTCTTTGCAAGGTAGTTCCTCCAGCACCAGAATAAACAATAATTTTGGGTCTTTGCACATCACCAGCCCTTTCCTGGACAAGCCATTCTCTCATGGTCAGCACTCTGGGTTGTATAAATACTGCCAATGAAGCTCTCCAGCAGCGCTTGGTTTAGAGGTGTGTTTGTGCTCAGCTTTGAGGAGGAGGAGGAGGGGAGAGAATCATAGAATAGTTTGGGTTGGAAGTGACCTTTAAAGGTCATCTAATCCAACCTCTCTGCAATGAGCAGGGACACCTTCCCCTAGACCAGGTTGCTCAGAAGACACAGGCATGTGCACGCACACACACACACACACACACGCACAGAGAATTCCTTCCCTGCTTTGCTGGTCAAACAGGTTCATCTGCAAGATTAATGCACAGAACCAGGCTGTCTCCATCCTGAATGGAGACTCCTGCTGTCTGTGCCCTTGCCATGCTCTGCTGTGGGGTTAGAGGCTCTATATGGACCCTATAGATGGAAAAAGTCCGAGCCAGTTCAAGCACAATTCAGCACATTCCTTGGAAGAAAGATCCATCTAGGTGGGTCTTGCAGTTGTGATATCCCACACTCAGGTACTGGACCAGGAAAGGCCATTCCAAACTCACCATTTTAAGTACCAACAACACAACTTTCCTAAAAACCAATGGTAAGTCCACAGTGGAGCTCAGAGCTGAGCTCAGTTTCCTACACAACAGGCTCAGGCAATAACTGGTGGCTTCTCCTCCTCTCACAGCACAGTCAGTCATGAAACATAAGTGAAAGGATGATCCCAGGAACACCTCTGGAAATTTGAAATAAAAGGATATCTGGTCTCTTGATCCAGCATGGAGCAAGGCTCACATTCATCCTCTATTTGAGCCTGCTGAGAGGATTACTGCTGGAAAATTCTGGGTTTATCCATCTCCAGAATCAGGTTCTGCATGTTTCACTGATTTTTCTGTGCAAGCCAGGCTGTCTCTCACAGTTGTTTTAGAGAGAACCATTTATATATGCAATAAAAAAGCTATTTCACCACATTGCTGAAAATTCCATCAGGTTATAGTTTATCTTAACAGACTATCAATGTACTGATAAAGGCATACTAAATATTCTATTGGTTTTGGCATAAAGAGTACATTATTGGTGTTTATAAACACATCAGTAAATGTTACAGACTTTTAAGTAACCCCATTGACCTGTAATATAAATGCTCTGCAGCTACTGATTCACAGTATATAAAAACTTTATGGATAAACCTTTACAAGCCGTTTATAAAAACACTCTCACTAAGAAATATTACATATAGACACAGAAATAACTCATGAGAAAACAAGGTGATTTCAAGAAAAGAGTACAAATCTTTTTATTTGGTTTAGGTTCTGTAAATTAAAGTTATACCTCAGTGTACAGCAGTAAAGTTAACACAGAACAGCACGTTTAAGAAATATATATTCTTCAACTGTTTTTTAGATGTGGGGCTTGACAAAAGGAGAGATCTTGAAAGAACCAAGCTAGATGGCTCAGAAGAATTTCCGAGCATAAGCAAGAGGGATTAAATTGATTCCTTCTCTCTTTATGCCATTTCATTTATGACACAGCTTGTTTGCTTGCAGGTATCTACTCACATCTCATGTAACTGCAGCCATCTCAAAATTAGTTGCCCAAGTCAGTGTTGGTCACCTACATAAGTGAATCAGTGGAGCTAAACAGACACTCTCAAAGGACAATCCAATCCATCTCAGAGAACCTTATCCAAGACTGACTCACCCTCTGGAGTGAGGATTCCACCATCAGGATCATTATCTGTGTTCCCTCTGTAGAGTTGAACAACTCAGTCTCTTCCCCCTGGTAACAAGTGATAGGGCAAGAGGAAATGGCTCCAGGTTATGCCAGGGGAGGTTTGTATGGGAAATTAGGAAAAACATTTTCATGGAAGGAGTTGTCAAACCCTGGAACAGGCTTCCCAGGGCGGGACAGGGTCCCCATCCTCGGAGGGATTTAAAAGATGTGTAGATGTGGCACTTGGGGACACGGCTCAGTGGTAACCTTGGCAGTGCTGGGGGAATGGTTGGACTCAAAGGATCTTAAAGGTCTTTTCCAATCTAAACAGTTCTATAATTCTAATTATCACGTAGACAGCCAAGCCTGAGTAAGTGCCACTTTTGAAGTCTGCTGTAAAACAACAGCTGCACTGTCAGCTCGGTGTGGGATCTGATATTTAAAGGTTCAACCTGCGAGACAAAGAGCTTCAGCTCAGGCAAAGAGTGTTTGTCAAACCTGACAGACCTTGCAGCACTATCAGGAAGATGATACTGGTTATCCTGGGGATGGATGGAAAAGCAGCTGCTGATATTAGAGGCAATGACTGACCTGGATAAAATGCCTGCTGGATTCACACCTCAGCACGTGTCAGTCACAGCAACAGGAACAGGGGGTGAACACTTTGAACCCCAGTGGGTTTCAGGCTTCTCCATCTGTCTTCCCCCAGCAGCTTTATCCCACCCCTGCCCTGTGCTGGGCAGATGAGAGGACAGAAAGGTGAATTTGTGGCTGTTCCTCAGTGCTGGCATTTCAACGGGGATCTTTGTAAGACCATCTGGAATATGGCAGAGCTGTCTCTGCTGTTTACCTTCCCTAAATGCAACCTGTTGTTAATATCAAGTGTCAGTAAAATATTTTGGATAACTCTGGATAATGTGCCAAGCTGAACTGTAATTAATCACTATGAACATACAACTGTCTCTGTTACACAGTTGGGACTCCACGGGTAAAATTTCCTCTCAATCTGACACTGCAGTGAGGAGCTTTTTTTGGTATCAAATTCTTCAAACTCTCTCCCTGGCATAACAACAGCTCTGTAACTGAAGGGTGTTTCATACAGTGTAACCTCATTATAATGAACCCTTTGAATAAACAGGTGTTATATCTGAATGTTCACCACAATTGAGATGCAGAATTTGCTTTATCAGGACAATAAAAAAAAAAACCCACCTGTATCTGAGCCAAACACTGATACCCAGGGCAGTTTTGTTCATAGCAAGGAAGAACTAAAAGTATTTTCAAAAGAAAATAATGAATACATACAGAAAGGATTAGTAAATTATGTTACCAAGGTAGATTTTCTTTGTTTTAATCATGGAATATCCTGAGTTGGAAGGGACCCACAAGGATCATTGAGTCCAACTCCTTTTAGAAAAACAGGAGCTATGTCATCCTTGATAAGATACCTTATTTTTATTTGTTTTTAGTAAGGCTAATGAACAATGCCTAAAAGAGCAGTTCTTACCCCAGCTGGGTTGTACAAGTGGAGTGTGGCTGGTCTCTCTTTGTTTTAGCTCACTAAGGTGTGAATATTGATGCTCTCCTGCTTGTATTCTGGGAATAAAGTGGTCTCCAGAGCATGGCAGCCTCATCTACTTTCTTGCCTCCTACAGTCTTGCTGCTCTGCACTGACTGAAGGTGTCAAACCCTGCCTTGGGTCAATGGACAAGTGTGGAAGACCAGAAGTGGGAGTCTGCTGGGCAGGGTGTGAAAACACTTGGTACTGACACTCCTACCCTCTGTTCAGGTTTGGAATCAAGCAACATCTGCACAAAACCCTCTCTGTGTCCATGTTTTGGTTTCACCCCCACCAATCCAGCCCCTCACAGCCACTCCCTCCTCCCAGTGGGATCTGGGAGAGAATCAGAAGGGTGAAAGCTGAGATAAGTGTGGGCTGAGATAAGGACAGTTTAATAGGAAAGCAAAAGTTGTGCCCACAAGCAAAGCAAACCAAGGAATTCATTCCCACTTGCCATGGTTGGGCAGGTGTTCAGCCATCCCTGGGAGAGCAGCACCCTGGCACATGTAAGAGGGACTTGGGAAAACAAACACCATCACTCTGGATGTCCCCTCCTTTCTCCTTCTTCCCCCACTTTACACACTGAGCATGATGTCATGGTCTGGAATGTCCCTGTGGGTCACCTGTCCTGGCTGTGTCTCCTCACAGCCTCTCACACCCCCCCAGCCCTCCCCAGGGTGGCTGTACAAGGAGCAGAAAAGGCCTTGGCTCTGGGTAAGTCCTGCCCAGCAATAACAAAAACATCTGTATTATCAACCCTGTGTCCAGCACAAACCCAGAACATGGCAAAAACCCCATACCAACCACTGGGGAAGTAAATTAACTCTACCCCAGCTGAACCAGCACAGTCCATCTACTGAAAGCACCAGAAAAATCTCAGTCCCATACTAGTGATCATCATTCAGCACTGAACACCAAGGAAATACCAATACGGGGATACCTGTTAGAAAGAAAAAAGTTGCAAAAAATATGCTTTGCTCTAACCCATGCTGCTAAGACTGTAATTTTCCAACCTGCTCAGCTCCCATCCACAGCCTTTCTGAGGGGACTGACCCAAAAGCTGCAGGCAGACTGAAGTGCCTGGTGAATTCTCTTTGCCTCCTCCTGAATGACAACCACGATGCAAAGCCCATCACAGTGACAAGATGCTGGTCTTACTTTTTGTCATTCAATCACCCCATCATTTCTGGCAGCACTGTCTCCTCTGACTGCAAAGAAAAGGCACAAGTACAAGAGTCTCTTAGTAAAACATTAATCTCAGATCACAGATTTATTTTATGGATTTGCAACACAGCCCATATTACAAACATTGTCTGGGAACATTTACAAGAATAAATAAGATGGACTCGCAGTTGTAAAAAAAAGATTACACTTCACTGTAATGTACAGTCAAAAAATATATCTGATATTCATTGACTTGACATTATTTACCTTCCTTCTTTTAAGCTAGAAAGACACTGAATGCACAGTGTTGAGAGTTTTGTATTTATATTTTTTTCCTTTTTTTTTTTTCATACGTGCTTTATCTATCAAACATCCAAACTGTACAAGTGAGTTTACCCAGGAATCCAGAAAGGCCAAAGGGGGGGAAGATGGGGCGGCATCGCAACAGCAGAGACTGGCTCTCATGCAGCACTCCTCCCTGCTGGAGAACACATCCAGGGGCCTGGGATGGGACACTGCTGAGCCAGGGGCAGCCACAGCACGGCTGTGTGACGTGGTGACAAGTCTGGCAACAAAATGCTGGGGCATTTTGATTTCCACAGTGTTGGCGTGGGGAGGGAGGAGGTTAAATCAGCAGGGGAGTGAATTTTGTCCCCTTGGTTAGTCAGGGGGGTTAAAGGATGTGTTAAGGATGCAGCTCAAACTTTTGGCATAGAAGTACAGTGTTTAAGTGCTGGCAATGCAAGAAAGGGCTGGAGGGGTGATGAGAGGGTAATTCCAGTTCTGCTCCAGGTACATGGAAGTCCAGCACATGAATCCTGGTTCAACTGTCAGCAACGTGAAAACCTGACCAGCCTTTGTCCCGGGGAGTCTTGTCAGAGCACCTAAATTCAGGAAAGCTTGTGAAGTGCTGGTCCCACTCCCACTTCCATCCCCCCAAAACGCCCTTCTTTCCATAACTTTGCACAAATAAGATTTCCTGGAGGTCCCTGTTGAAAGATGATGTACTCACACAAGGAAATCAGTCTCCACAGTGCAACACTCCCGAGGGGTCTCACACAGTCTCGCCAACAGTAACGTTTCAGGGGAACAGATCTCCACTGAAACACTCCTTCTGGGACAAAGTGCCCTCCCTGAAGTAACCACCACACTGCTGGATACCTACATATGAAGTATCAGGAGCAGTCCCAAAGGGACATCAAGAGCAAACCTTCACCTTGTAACAAGCACATCCTTCCTCCAGACAGAGTGACATGGACTTGCTCACATTTATACTGCTTAGAAACAGCTCAGGCTGAATTGAGTTCCAAGAAAACAACATTTTAGTTTGCTCTTTTCCCATTTCATTATTTTTTTTTTATTATTATTATTTTTTATTTTTTTTGCCCCCAGGAAACACTATGGGAATACCAGCATCTGGCATTCAGTCTGCTGCATTAGTTTGTTTTTTAAGGCTCAGGTTGAAAACACAATAGTGGTGAAAAATCTGCTGCATGCACTGGGGCGAGGATGGAAAAGACTAATTTAGACCTCCCACGTTTTTACAAACTGAAAAAGCTGCCAGGTTTTCACAATTCTGCTAATCCAACATCAACCTGTAGGATAGTCTGAGGTTATTTTTTACAAGGGAAACTTTTAAAATAGTTTAACACAGCAAATACAGATTATAGACTAGAGGTCACTGGAAGTCAGCAACCAAATTACAAGTTTTTGTAATTTTTTTTCTTTCCATCACACTCTATACCACCAGGATTTGGTCTCGGTGTATGAAAACATATGATTCTGCTTGACAGTTTGAGCAAATTGTACATTCTTCAAGTATGTATATGAGGGAGATGACTGCTACCTTTTCCAAGTCAATGAGCAGATAATACATGATGGATTTTCCTAGTGGCCCTTGCCAAAAACTGCAGAAATTGGGCTTTGCTTGCTATGCTGTTGGCTCACCCTGGAGGAAAGAAGAGCTGTAGGTATTTTTGGGAACAGGGAAAGAAAGAGCACTTGCATTTAAATTGTATATTATGTATGCATGGCTATAGAAGACTGCAATCTAAATAAACAGGAGCACAGGATGGTTAACAGAATCCTTATTACTCATGTCTGTCTCTCTGACTTTTAATTCTCTGGCTTTCCCCGTTTCTGCTCCAGTGTCTGGGCAGGGGAGCTGTGGTGGTTTGTTCTACCCTCACACAGCAGGTATATGGAATTTTTGACCCAAAGGCCGTGGTTATGCTGAATAACTTTTGCCACTTTAACCATATGGCCCCCCTTTATTTTCTTAAAAATCTGGGGCTGACTGACTCTTTTTACACTTAAGACAAATGAAAGACTCTCAAATGAAAACACAGCAGTTTCACACCAAAGTTCTTGAGACGCCCCTTGCACCGGCTGGAGGGATCACAAAAATTAACTGTGCTACCAACGTAATGGAGTTGACTGCTCACATTTATTACAGGACAGTGAAGTTCTCCAAGTGGAACTTTGCCACCACATTGCACACCCAGGACCGTGCCAGGACTGTGCACTGCTCTGTGACGACTCACTAAAAATCCTGCAGGTGTGACAGGCAGAGGCACCTCGTATTTGAAGATTCCTCTCTCAAGTGAATCTCCTTTTATCTCTGTCCCTCAGGATTTATTCTCTCTGTCACCCTCTGAGTGCTCCATCTCCACAGCACGGAATGTGGCATTACCTGTTTTTTATGATCCTGGCAGGAACTCGGAAGAGTAAGAAAGATAAAGAGCAGCTGTGCAAGAGTGAGAGAGAGAGCAAGGTGCAAATTCCTCCCTGTTTCAGGATCCATTTAATCTGCCTTCTCCTCCAAAGCTGGGTTTCTCCCAAAGGAGATTTCTCCTCCTTTCCTCCTCTCCCAGATGGCAACTGGTTTAAGTGTCTTCTGAACCACCTGCTGCAGGAGCCTCTCTCCTTCTCTGACTCTACAGCACAAGAGCAGTGACCAGCAATCTCTGCCTTGAGATTCCCAAAGGAAATCCCACAAACTGCTGCTAAAGGGCCTGTGAAAAGTAAATGGAAAAGCCAGTCTAGCATCTAGAGGCTCAAATCTACAACTGTGGGGTCTATGTTGCCACTGGACTTTTTTTTCCCAGGGTGTTTACAGCTCCAGAATAAAAGGTTGGAAACTACTGACACACAAATACAGGCTGCTGCAGGGAACAGCTGTTCTTTGGGGTTCCCTCCTCTGCTCTGTGGAGTTACATGGACCAGAATGATTTGAGGTCACAGGTATCTCCCAAAATATCTATCTGCCTTTCAGGAATTCTCTGGACATTCTTCAGATGTGTGTGCAGGTGGACAAGACAAGGGGATGGAAACTGCAGGTTATCTCGGGGGTAAAGGCCACACAAAGTCACACCTTTTCAGTGCATGTAAAAACCTTTCAGTGTTAGTCAACTGCCTGCTGCTGCTGGACCAAACTGGACAACTCTAGCTCACAAAAATGGCTAAAATGTGAATAAATCAAGAGGGACCCACTGTTGCATGGCAAAAGCAGACATAACTCTGTGCAACCTTGCTGAAGAATACCAAATTAAAGGGCTTCCTACTAATCATAGCCCAGGAAAGGAACTTCCCTGCTCAGAGAACACAGGTTATTCCAACCTGCAAACATACACAACCCAGCACATCCCCATCTGCCTGTTTGCTATCAGAGGTCCTGATTCAGGATATTCTGATAAACAAATACCTCAAGTCTATTTACAGCAGTTCAAACACTTTTTACCTTACCTTCAAAGAAGAAAAAAAAAATCAAACCAAACCAAAAGAGCCAGCATAGGACATCAGTCCTGCACAGATCTTAATTAAAAAAAAGATACAGACCCAAACCCCACCACCAAGCAAACATAAAACCAAAAAAAGAAAAGATTCTTAAGGCCTACTGTATCTTTTAGGGGTTTTGGTCTATCTCCCATCTAGAAAACTCTTTCTTCTCCAGCAGCCAGCTTAGATAGCTCTGGAATTCACTGTTTCAGTTACATCCCATACTAATTTCAGATGTTAGTTACTCTCTGTATGACATAGTCACACCTGACCCACGCTTCTTTCCCTATTTCTAGTACCTTGTATTTCAGACCAAACCTTACACCAGTCCTGTGCTATCATAAACTGCTCCCTCACCCCTGAAGGATGACTGAATAAGTTTATGTTCATTATGTCCATTCAAATGTGGATATTTGAATGGGCAATATGATATTTTTCCAGCTTAAAATTCAATCACTTGAAGGAATTCATCTTTTCTACTGCACATTATCACTTTCCATCCACAGCAGGGGATGCTTAGGCTGGAAAGCTCACCCTGACTATTAATCTTTCCAGGAGTGAGAAAACCTCCTTTATCTCATCTCATCTCATCTCATTTCATAATTTCTCTCCTTCCCCGCAAAAACAAACCCATCACCCATAATCATGCTTCAAACACATTACCTGCTCTGCCATGGGCTGCTCTCTAGGGTTTAAACAACTTCAAGGTAATAAAGTTATTTAAAGCCAGCTCGTCCTCTCTTTCCACACAATTCCCTTCATCATTAATTCACACTCAGCATATATGCACTGTGTGCAGCAAGGAACAGCAGGAATATCCCAGAGACAACACACACTGGAGCTGGGTTGGTCCCCCAAAAGCACCAAAACTGCAGGAACTTTTATCAGTGTCCGCTGAGCACCCTCCCACACATGGACATGAGGGTTCAGACACGCAGCTGAGTGGCCGCAGAACAAGCTGTGATTAACAGCTGGGCTGTGGTAACCAGCACTTGCATTTAACTCCTACAAAATGTAAAATTTAGCTTTAACATCTTCCCCTGCACTTCATGCCAACATCACCTGGCGTTTGCAGAGGGCCAAAAGCGCACCTGACTTGCCGTGGACCAGCCTGATACAGGGACTTCTGACCCTTTAGCAGCATTTTCCATACCATAAAACACAGTCAATCCTACCTCAGGACCTTAAACAACTCCACTGCAAGTGCTGTTCTGCTCTGCTCATCCCACAGCTCCTTCTCTCCATGCACACATCCCTCCTGCAGGCTTAATTCTCTTTTTTTAATCCACTTTCCTTCCTGCTACTGTTAAGCCTGAATTAGGTCCTATACTTCACATCTCATCCTATTTCTTTACCATTCTGTTCCTTTTATCCTGGTTGTCACTCTCAGTGCTTCCACCAGTCTTTCCCCCTCCTATATCATGAAGGAGACCTTACCCTGTGCTACTTTCCATGTAAAATTAACAGAATACTAAATGCTAATTAATATTTCCATAGTATCCACAGGGAGTGATTCCCTCTGGCTTTCTGGAGTCAGCAGTCACAAACACTTTGCTGACTTGTAGCTTCTTCCTACGTGGGCATTTGCTCAAAAATCCCATTCTGGGATCAGAATTCCCTCATCTTTACTAATAGCTCCCAACTCCTGACCTACACTGTTCCATCCAGCCACCTGTAATGAAAACACCAATATAAGGCCATTTTTATCTCATAGCTTTGCTTTGTCTTCTATTCTTTTTTCCCTGCAGAATTGTTTGTGTTGCTTAGTTGCATAAGGAAAAAAACCCAGCAATTCAAACTAGCAGCCTGTCCCAGGAGATGCCAGACACCCACCTCCAGCCCCATTTGGAACTAAAGGGGATTTCATGATTTCAGGCAACAGAAAGGACCAACTAGAAGCAGAGCAGGGGCTCCTGTGAGGGAGTTCTCACCAACACTTTACAGCACATCAGGGAGGATGTGGTTCATGACATTAAAGCCAAGAATCCAAAGCTCCTTAGAAAGAATCCAGGCTAGGAGGTTCAGCATCCCGTGAACCCCTTCATCTGCTTATCAGGAAGAGGATTATTGCAGTTCCAAGCACCCTTCCCTGGACTGGTGCAGCTCCCGGTGGATGGAAACTGTGGTGAGGTACCTGTGTGAGCTGAGAGCTGCTTTGGTCAGCTCCCATTTTCATCCCTCACTGCCAAGGCAGTTTGTCTATTGAAGAAATAATGATCATGAAGTGAAGCCTTTTGAACTTACAGACAGAAGTAGCAAAATGTGTTGAACTTGTCACACATTGAGAGCACAGAGCTCCCAGCACAGCCTCTGAGAATTTACCTGAGGGTGGAAAATACAGGGTGGTAAGAAAGTGGAGTTTCCTTAAACTCTTCCCTTCAATCTATCTTTTAGAAAGTCTGAATTTAAAGAAACCTACATCCCAGAATCTAATTTACACAGAGAGCAACCTCATATCCAGCACCCTCCAGATAAATAAATGGCTAAATTCAAATACTAATTATAGTAAGGCCTTGTTCTTTCAATTATTTTTTTTTTCTCCAAGATTACCCTGCAGACCTTAGTGATTAACTACTTAAACACACTCTTTCAGAAAAGCAATTTCTTAGCTGCTACGAAATCAGAGCGAGACCCAGAGCCATGGTAAAACACATCTGGTGTTTGTTTGGGAGCAGGAGAGTTGCACAGGCATTTTTTGCAGGATGAAACAAAAGCTGTTTTGCTTAAGAAGAGAAGTTGCTGTGCTGGGCTAACACTTCTCCTTACATGTGTCAGAACAGGTTTCTGTGTATGTACATCACCTTTCCTACAGCTCCAATGGGTTCCCATTTTAAAGCTTGTAGGGCTCGGAAATAGCGAGGAAATCTTGCCAAAACCCAATTTTAAGAACCTTCAGCTTTTAAACTCTTGAGCAGGAACCTTCTTTGCTCTCTGTTTGCACAGTGCCTAGTTCAGCAGGGTCCTGTTGTGACTAGGGGTCCTAAGTTCTACAGCAATACAAATAATAAATAAAAACCAGTAATACATAGCATATGAGCAATAATACCTACTTTATACCCTGTTTCTTTTTTGTTTTTTTTTTCAAAGACACACTGCACCCCAGCAAATACTCGAAAAATGTGGTAACAAAGTTACCGAAGTTGCAAGACAAACTGCAATCTGTTTGATGCAAATATTTAACCTTAAGGTTCAAGTGGCTGGGAAACTCATCAGTGGCATTGCTTCACCAGCACCCAGAGGAACACAGAGCAGAGAGGTGGAACCGGTTCATGCACAGCCCTGGGAGTGGAGCAGAAACTGGGAGGAAACATTTGTGTGGAGGCAGTGAATCCACGAACAGCTGCTCATCTCCACCATCTATTTTCATGCTTAAAGGGACTACGTGTGGGAAGAGAATTCCAGCGTTGTTTTTCTTCTGTGTTGGCCTTTTCATTTGGAAAAAACAAATAAAAAAGGAAAGAGATAAGGTAGACAAACCGTAATGAAATATTTCATGTATCCCCTATGGCTATCTCATTTTTCCCAAATGACTGCTGCACAAAATTAAAAAATGAAAAGATTGGGATTCAAGAACAAAATTATAAATTAAAAAGGAGACATTTAAAAGAGAATTTCCTAAGGGTTTCATTCCTTCCCCACTCTGCAGCAAGCAGAGCAAAAATACAATCCAAAAGAGGAGAGAAGAAGTCAGAGGGGATTAGAAAGTCCAGTCTTTCAGCCTGTCTCCCATTTTGCTAATTTTTACAGTAGGTTATTTAAGAAGCAGTAGATGTTCCAATAGAAAGCAGGCAGCAGCACACACAGGCATCATCTCCTCCTTCCAGCGAGGTCTGTGCAACCTCAGTCTCTTGCTCCAGGAAGGAGAGGTTTTCCTTCCCACACTTGTTACTGCCTTCCAGTGTGGGAGAGGGGAGAAGCGCCTGCCAGAGATTGGGGTCTGGCACATCCGAGGGTCCCCTCCCTCCTCTGGGCTAAAAGGAACTCAAGTATTCCAGTGCAACCTCATATACAAATTTATACTGTTCCTGCAAGAGAGGACAGAAAGAAATGGCATTAGGATATGGGTGAATTCTTCAGAGCCTTGTTCTACAAGCAAAAATACCTCCTCTCCCTTTCTTATTCCCTTTGGCAGGACCAGGCAAACATTGATTGCCTTTTTATGTGATCCTGAACAAGCCCTGCTAGGAGATGGTATCATCAATGGAAGAGAGAAGCATTCAGAGACAGCCCCAGTATGGGCTATTCATTATTCACCTCCACACGTTGCTTTTGAGGCACGAACTCAGCGTGATCGATGGAGATGATTGAATTCAGGACAGTTTAATCTCCTGGGCTGCAGGGAGCAAGGCCTGGGGTTTGGGCTGCTCTCCCTCCCTGGTTTCAAGGCATGTCACAGCATTCAGCACCACAGGCTGTGTGCATGGACAGGAGGACAGATCCCACCCCTTCCCACAGCCACGGTGCCAGCTCCTTGGGGTCTGACCTCCTGGAGCCAGCTGGGCACGGGAGGCAGTGTTCATCATTTTGCCAGGGCAGCCTTTCTGCTCAAAGAGAGAAGCAGGAGGACTCACTGCACATGCTAAAACAGAAGCCATTATAATTCTGATGGCTTCATGTTCTCATTCACTTTGATTCACCCTGAACGAAGCCACGACAATTTTCTACCTATCCTAAAGGCCCTGGAACGTGCTGGGAGGGGAAACACACAGGAAAAAAAAAGCTTACCAGTGACTCCACCATGTTGGATTTGTTATTCCGTAGTGTTTTCACTATGTGGAACACATCGATGATGTTCTGCTGTTGGATCATCTCACACACGCTGCAGATGGCACAGAAGGTGCCGCTGCGTCCCCCTCCGTTCCTGGGGGCACAGAAGAGAGGGGAAGGGGAAGCTGGTAGGGCTGAGGGACAGAGAGAACAACTCCCCCAGGGACACTAAGGAAGTCTGTAACTGGTCATGGACATTCAAGGGTTTTTGTGTACCTAAAGGGGTTCCAAAAGAGCTGGAGAGGGACTTTGGACAAGGGCATGAAGTGACAGGACAAGGGGGAATGGCTTCCCACTGCCAGAGGGCATATTGGGAAAGGAATTCTTCCCTGTGAGGGTGGGGAGGCCTTTGCACAGGTTGCCCAGAGAAGCTGTGGCTGCCCCATCCCTGGAAGTGTCCAAGGTCAGGTTGGACAGGGCTTGGAGTAACCTGGGCCAGTGGAAGGTGTCCCTGCCCGTGGCAGGGGGTGGAGTGATGTGGTCTTTGCAGTGCTTTCCAACCCAAACCATTCCATGATTCTATGAAAGTGGAGACCTTCAGGGCAGGAGACAGGGATGGAAGGGTTAAAGGATTCCTGGCAGTGGTGGGCAGGGAAGCCCAGGGACTGCAGTGCTGCTCCTCAGTGCTCAGAGCAGCTCTGTGGGCAGAGCTGGGCACACGGCAGTGCTGCTTCGGGTCTGCCTGGGCTCCAGTCAGAGACCCACCCACACAACAGGACCTAGCAGAGCTTTCTGAGCTACTCCTCACCCCAACCAGCAGCACAATATTCAACCTGAAGTGCATTACAAACGTAATTGCACTTCACTTTCCCGAGCTGAGGTCTGGTAAACCACCAAAACTCCAGACCCACGATCGGCGCTCTTCAGAGAGCACCGTGTGAGGTTACAGACACTTCCAGTCCTACTTACAGGCAGTGGACAACAGTCCGGCCATCCCTGCCATCGTACTGCTCCTGCCACTTCTCCAGCCTCCGGACCACCTTGAGCAGGGAGCGTTTGGAGGGAGGGGTGTCCCTGTAGGCCGGCCAGCCGATGTACTGCAGGTGCTGCACGATGCGATAGCCGTCCTGGGGCTGCAACAAAGGGCACGGGAGTGGCACACACTCAGGGCAGCAGGGCAGGAGGGACAGGGACAGGGGAAAGCAGGGAGCACTGGTTACACGGCCTCCAGTGCTGTGTCCAGGTCTGGGCCCCTCAGTTTAGGAAGGATGTTGAGGGGCTGGAGTGTGTCCAGAGAAAGGCAGCAAGGGTGGGGAAGGGACTGGAGCACAAGTGGTGTGAGGAGAGGCTGAGGGAGCTGGAGTTGTTCAGTCTGAAGAAGAGGAGGCTCAGGGGAGACCTCCTCACTCTACAACTCCCTGACTGGAGGGTGTATCCAGGTGGGGGTCAGTCTCTTCTTCCAGGAACCAGCAGTAGGACAAGAGGGCACAGCCTCGAGCTGCACCAGGGGAGGTTTAGGCTGGACATTAGGAAGAAATTCTTTACAGAGGGAGTGATCAGACATTGGAATGGGCTGCCCAGTGAGGTGATGGGGTCACCATCCCTGGAGGTGTTTAAGAACAGACTGGATGAGGCATCAGTGCCATGGTCTGGGTGACAAAGTGGTGTTGGGTCAAAGGTTGCTCTCCATGATCTCTGAGGTCTTTTCCAGCCTAGTAAATTCTACGTTTCTGTGCTTCTGTCATCTTCCCCTCTGGAGCTCCTATCACCACTGTTAACATCCTCCACACCCTGGGTATCTGATACAGTGTGGAAACAAGGACTTTTCCATACTCTGGATAAAAAATATGACTTCAGATATTACAGAGCCAGGCAGGATCTAGGATCCCTTGTTTGGTTTCCAGAATAAAGTTTCATCAGACTGTATGAACAGATTAAATAGACCAAATGTCTCTCTCCTGTGCTGGAAATAAGTTGTGTCATAAGAAGCAAAGGCAGCCCTCAGAAATTCTCTGGGCACTGTGGAGGGAAAGGATCCTCACAGAGATGTTGGCAGTGGCCAGTGGTGCTGAACACAGATGGGTGCAGAGGGCTGTGAGTTCACAGCACCCACCCTGCCAGCCATGGACCAGCTCCGTCCTGAGAGTCACAGAGCCTCAGTCTGACCACCTTTATGACTCAAAGGCTCTCCCTGGTTCAGAGGGAATTGGCTTGGGATACAGGACAATGTCTAATAGCTAACTGATTAATCAATTTGTGTAGCTGGACACGAGATTCCCTCTTCAGTGCCACTGTTGAACTGCTGCACAGGCTCTGAACACACAGACACCACTGTGTTAAACTGCTTGGAAATGTAATTTGTGGAGCCTGCTTCCATTTCTGACTAGAAAAAAATGAAAAAGGAACAACAAAGGAAACATAATCAATCTGGGAAAACAACTAATGAGAGAAAAATCCTGCACTGCAGCCCTGAAGTTGGATTGCCAGGGCCCAGCACACAGATAAACTTTGTTTCTATCATTTCAGCAGTCCTGGGGCTGAGGGATCCAGACAAAGAGTTGCTTACAGAAATGGCAGTTGCTTATTTATAGGGAAGACAGTGGCAATTGGGAATCCCAGTCTAGCCAGTAAACATTGCATCTGTCTTCAGAGCCGCTGCTGAGTAGTTGACAGATGGAGAGCTGCTGACACTACCTCACTTTATTTCCTACAATACTGATGCTTCTATATTGGCTGCTAAGTGATGAATTGTTCTCAAATACACACAGAAAAATGCTCACCACTTAAATACAGATTTTCAGCTCATATCATCCACTTTCTACTTTCAGCCAAGAGTCTTTTAGCAATACAGACTGATTAAATGTTAATTAAAGGAAGCAGCTGCAGTGGAATTTCGTTCCTAGGTGAGAGATTCAGCACCTCTAAAACCACAGGTCTTGGCTCTGCCTCTTCCTCCTGCCAAAATGCATTTTTGAGAATAACTGGGGAATGTGGTGTTTCAGGGATCTTACCCTGGCCATGTTGCAGATCCGGAATATCCGGTTGATGATGTCTTCATCAATGTCTGCTGAGACAAACTCCACCTGAATGGGGCCATAACAACAGGATGTCTTCTCTGGCCAGTACTGCATGCAGAGCTGCAGAAAACAGGACAAGAAACAGAAAGCATCTTAATTATTAACAAGGAAATGCACATTCAGTCTTTTTTTTTTTTTTTGATTTATAACCAGCTCAAAATCCAGCGCCAATCTTGTATTACATGTCTTTGTTCACAGGAGACCTCATTCTAGCTGTAAAAAGTTTTTATACCATGAATATGAAAAAAAGAGTGTATTTTAGAACCTTGACTTTTTTCCCCTTTATTTTTGTATGAACACAATTTGGAACACAATTTGGAACTGATCGAATTCTGGAGTCTAAAGGTGAAGAAAAGGTGGTTGACAACTGAAGCTTATGTAGGGGTAGAGATTTAAAATGAACACTAAAAGATTAGTGTCTGCAGATAAATTTAATAAGAACCACAGAGGTTTGGTGTTAATGAGGAAACAGTACAGGCACCATGAAAATTAATCTTAATTCAAACAAACTGGAGTTTCTTTTTTCTGTGAGATGAACTTTTTAGCTTTGTGACTCTACCAGTGAGCAGGGCAGGGAGAATTAGTTTGTCCTGAGAGCAAGAAGAGCAGCTCTGGTTTCAGGGTGAATCTCTGAAGTTTGTGAAGCAGGTTGGAAGTCTTTTCCTTGTGCTGATATTACAGAACTGAAAGGACAAAAAAGATCCTATGCACACAAATTACAATGTAAGTATTCAAAATCCATCTGGAAATAGATTATGGGGAAAAAATATTTTGCATGAGATCTCATTAGCAGTTTCTGCTGAGATTGTGTTTCTTTCTGTTTTTCTTTCTTCCTATTTTTAAGTGTAATTTTTCAGAAGTTTTGAAACCCCCAGATGCTCATTTGAACTTGATCTCGAGCTTTTTCAAGTTCAATCACTGCCAGAAACAACGTCAAGTGTGTGAATGCTACTGCATTAATTCTGCACTCCTTTGATCATACAGGATTGAAATTGGGTGGGATATTCACACAATCTTAGGCATCTTTGCCCTTGTTAGTTTTTCAAGATTAAGCAAGCCAACCAAGACCACACAAGCAAGTCCTTTGAAGGGTGTCTTTACTCTTCATTCAGACTTTCAAGCTGCTTAGTGATCTCCTCTCAAAGAATCTGCCCAATAGGCAGGAGATGTGAGCTGAGCAGGAGCTCCAGGAAACAACCTCAAGGTGCAGCAGAAAGCAGAAAAAGATTAAACATTTCCTTAATATTAAAAATCTGCTTTTCCTAGAGCAGGTCTGTGAATGGCCACACTTCATGAAAGACATTGAGGGGTGTGAGAGTGTCCAGGGAAGGGAAGGGAGCTGGGGAAGGGGCTGGAGCAGCAGGAGCAGCTGAGGGAGCTGGGGGGGCTCAGCCTGGAGAAAAGGAGGCTCAGGGGGGACCTTCTGGCTCTGCAACTCCCTGACAGGAGGGGGGAGCTGGAGGGGTCAGGCTCTGCTCCCAGGGAACAAGGGACAGGAGGAGAGGGAACGGCCTCAAGCTGTGCCACGGGAGGTTTAGACTGGATATTGGGAACATTTCTTCACAGAAAGGGTGTTTGAACATTGAACAGGCTGCTCAGGGCAGTGGTGGAGTCCCCATCCCTGAAGAGATTTAAAAGCTGTGTAGATGGGGCCCTTGGGGACATGGTTTAGTGGTGGCCTTGGCAGTGCTGGGGGAACAGTTGGACTCAATGGTCTCAGAGGTCTTTTCCACCTTAAATGATTCCATGACATCAAACTGTCACACCTTGTCCTGATAGCTCATAAAATACAAACTTTAAAGTCATCCTTAACTCCCACCAGTGCCACCTGGGTGTTCCAGCACTGGCTGCAGTCTCCAGCTGGTGACCCTGTGCTACAGGAACTGTCAAAGTGACTTTTCTGCACTGCCAAATCCCCCTTTCTGTGCCTACAGGGTACATCAGAAAAACAAAACTTTGCTAGCAAAAAACAAAGCAAGAAAAAGCCTTGTGCAGAAAGATAGTCACAAGAACAGCACTGGCTGAGGCTGATAGGTTTGTGTTTTCCAAGAACCCAGTCTGAGAAAGCGTGTCATTTCCAGAAAAAGCTGTGTTTTCCTTTGAAGTGTCAGGGAAAAAAAGAAAAAGATGAAATTTGCCTCTGGATTCAATGCCAAGATGCAGAATCAAGGAGAGTAGACTGGAGAGGAGGCAGCAAATGCAGAGGATCTCAGGGTGGTAGATCACAGGGTGGTAGGACTCTGAAGGTCACCAAGCAGAGCTCTCCCCGTGGCTGGGAATGGAATCCCACAGCACCCACTCCAATGGGAGATCCCCTCCAGGAATGGGGGGATTGGTTTCTCCACCACCATCAAAAAAAGAGACCAATAATTTTGCTGCCTTCAAGTGTGGTAAGACAGAGAAGAGACAAATCAAAAATTAATCCATGAAGTGCCAGCTACTTAAGGGTTCCTCTCCTCTCCTGTAACAAGTGCTGTAATGGATGAATTAGCCATGCCAAATGTACTCTTCACACAAATTGCATGATTATGCCTTTCTGAAAGCTGTTATCTTCTGCCACTCACTGGCAAGGTGGCTGGAGACACCAGCACAGGAGGAATGGCAGCAGCTCCTCCCCAGCAGGCTCCAATCCTGAAAATGATGGTGTGCTTAGCAGCCAAAAACCAACTTATGCATGGAATTAAAAAGAAAAAATAAAAATACAAAGCACTGTGATCTTCTGGAGAACCTGTGCAAAACACACTTCTCAGTATTACAGAATTGCACTGGAAATCTCAGGGGAAGGATCCTTCAAATTATTTCAGCTCCCTTGGGTTCATTCTCCTGGAAATGCCATGGGAATGGGCAAGCATGAAGCACACTGGGAATGTGGCAGGGAACGTTTTTCTGAACCAAAGGCAGACAAAAATATGAAAGGGGACAGGAAAGGGAAGGAAGTGAGTTTGGGAGGAAAACTTCAGCCCAAACCCACAAAGTATTTATGTAATATATAAAATACTTACATAAAACTTTATTATACTTTTAAATATATAAATTTTTAATATACTTTTATATATATGAAACTTTTTATACATGTATATGAAAGTGTTTATCTAATATATATTTATATATCTTTGAGTTTGGAGAAGACAAGGCTTTAGGGAGACCTTACAGCAGACTTTCAGTATGCAAAAGGAGCTTACAAGAATGCTGGAGAGAGACTTTTCAGAAGGGTATGGAGTGATAGGACAAGGAGGAATGGCTTCAAGCTGATAAAGAGTAGGTTTAGGTCAGATATTAGGAAGAAATCCTTCCCTGTGAGGGTGGTGAGGCCCTGGCACAGGTTGCCCAGAGAAGCTGTGGCTGCCCCATCCCTGGAAGTGTCCAAGGCCAGGTTGGACGGGGCTTGGAGCAACCTGGGCTAGTGGGAGGTGTCCCTGCACATGGCAGGGGGTGGAACGAGATGGGCTTTAAGGTCCCTTCCAACCCAAACCCTTCTATGATTCTATGATCCTTGTTAAATGCAGTAACAATCAGCTGCCTTAGAAGGAGCCAAGCATGTGGACTTACTCTTCATTACACCCCAAAACATCACCTATTACTTTCCAGCTCCCCCTCCTTTATTGGGGTGGGGAGACAGGGCACAAGAAAATGGCAGCAGAAACTCTCTGAAAACCACCTGGATTTGAGAAGGGAGTTAAATGACGGACGTGATGAAGAATCACCCACCTGTGCTGCATCCATCTCATTCAGCATCACCACAGAGGAGCAGTTGTAATCAAACACCAGCCTCCAGAAGTCTGCGATGGTGTTGGGCAGAGGGTGTTGGGTTACAATAAAGGCAGCAGGTTGCTTGTGGCTCTAACAAAAGAACAAGATTAGTTAAAAAAAAAAAAAAAAAATTCAATCAACTTTTATTCAAAGGAATATTATGCCCAGGAGGCTCTGGCAAGGCAATCTGAGCCATTTAACCAGATTATACAAATCACATATCCCTCTCCTTGTTATCTCACTGCAATGAATGAGCGGCTCATAATGGGATTCTTTTGCTCCCAACGAAGACATTTCATTAAAGAAGTGTCATAAGAGCAGAGATTACCCAAATCAATTATTTATATTTTGAGACTCAGCAAATAATATTAATTCTACTATTACTACTACTACTACTATCAGTAATATTAATAATTGGAAAGAAAACAGCTGGAAGCAAATGCTCTCCCTTTCTGCTGCGATGGCCTCAAGGAACTCCAGAAGGGATTAGCCCTGTCTGTTATTGCTGCCTGGGGATGGAGTGTGACAGAGGTGGCACATTTGGATCCCAGCCATCCTTTGTGAGCTTGTGGGACAATATTCAGAGCCTGTGACAATGGCATTTCATTTCTGATGCTATTCTTTCCCCTCAGAAGGGTCCCCTGACCTCAGTCTCCCTAAGCACAGAGGGGTGGGACTGTGCTCCTGACCTCTGTGGGGCCGTGTTAATGAATGTTTGTGAGGCTCCCTGAGATGAAAAAGAACAAGCTGAAAACTTTATCGCCTTCCAACCACGGCAGGCAATGTGTAAATGAGCCCAGAAACTGCACAGGCCTTCGTGCTGTACGTCTGTGAAGCAGAGTTCAATCAAAAGGAGCACTAATTCTGCAGAAAAAGGGAAAAAAAAAACCCCAAAACAAAAAGCCCACAGAATAAAAAATTTTGGACTTATAGCAAAGAAACAAGTAAAATCCTAAAGTATTAAGCTGGCCATTGTGGGGGGGTTGCCTTTCCTCCTCCATGTGAGTCAGATGTGAGTGGAAGTGCTGAGCAGACCATTCTGGGAGGGGGAGAAGGTGCAGTGCACACTTTGCCCCAGCTTGTTTTAGGGGAAGGTGAGGGACAGTATTTCTCCTTTCTTCTTATCAAACCATTTTGCAGATGCAAACCTGGCTTTCCAGTGATTCTCACAGGAAAGATCCTAAGGTCTGTTCACTGGAAAGGGACAGAGGACATGAAGAGGAAAGGTGTCTAAATCTGCTGGGGCAGAATTCCTGCCCTCTGTGGGCAGCAGGAGCCCTTTGGCTGTGTTCCCAAAAGCTAACTCAAGGCAGAAGAGGCTGGTTTTGAATACTCTGCCTGAGACAGTCCCAGCTCAGTTGTAGCATGAGCTTCACACCCTGAGGGAAGGTTCAAATGGCTCTCTGTGCCTAAGGTTAATTTTGGTTGACAGATGGCCTTCCTGAGACATTCATGCCTCCAAACATGGGCTGTAACCCATCCCAGGTGTACCATTCCCCTTCCTGCTCCACCACTTCTTCCATCACAGCTTTCACGTAATGCACCAAGCAAGTCAAACAAGATTTGGGGAGAAGTTTAAAACCAGAAATGAACAAGAGAAATCCGTAAATAAAATAATCAGCACTGGGACTGTGCTGTCAGGAGTTCCCCAGCACGTGCCTGTCCTCACACAATGACAGAACTGACAATGGTTCGAGGCAATATGGGATGGATGGTCTCCTCTAAGAGTTCATGCTCAGTGCAAACCTTCAGACATGAAGCTACTGGGAAAAAAAAGAATTTGCAAGGTCTGTCCTCAACAGGGACAGCTATGAAAATGTGGGATTTGGGCTGTTCCCCTCTGATTATTGTTTTCCCAAAAATTTGCTGATTCCTCTTTGGAAGGATAAAGGAGAGCCAGAGAAGATCACAGCAGCTGAATTTCTATGACAGGTGAAAAATTCCTTTGTACTAAAAAAAAAAAAATCATACAAATTTTGTGGGGAAGGATACAAATATTAGCAAAGTGATTGGAAGTAATGAGGGCTGAAATGTGCAAACATTCCCAGTCCCTAAGAAACCAGAGAAGAACAGATTGTGTTTCTTCAGAGTTGCAAAAGCACAAAACACACTTCAAAAAAAAAAAGTTTCCTTAGGCATATTTGTAATGAAAACATCACAGTCTTTCTGAAAAAATCTAAAATAAATTCTGTGACCGTTTGACTGAACCTCTTAAATGCAGTAGCATCACTGTTTCCCAAAGACTGAAGACCAGACAAAATTAAAAAAGACTGTTCCTGACGTTGCTGAGGAAAAAATGATGACATTTCACCCTGGATCATATTTACCCATACTCCAACTGCAATAATTAGTGGCTTTAAAGACATCTCTGTCCAAAGGCACCACAGCAAAAAGAAACCATCGACATAATTCACCCTCCACAGCTGACCTGTGCTGGGAGATTTGAGCCCATAAACAAAGCAAGGGAAAATGCCTTCAGACAGAGTCACATCAGCTCAACTCATGTCCTTCAGCCTGAAAATATTTTCCACATCTGATCCCTGCAGTCCCACGTTCTTAACTGCACAAGCTCTAATCAATCACTTGCTCCACACTGCAAATTATTCTTTCCAAAGAGCTGAGTTGGCAAACACTTCTCTTCCCAACATATGCAAAACCCAGTGCATGGGAAGAGCTGTGCCACCACTTCTTTGTGTCTCTCTATGATCCAACCTCAGACTGCAAGCTCAGGAGCTCCTTTGCAAAAAAATTTCTACCAGTGTGATGCAGAATGAGTGTGTGTGATAATCACAGTCTAGATTATACAGAACCACAGAATGAACCAGGTTGGAGAAGACCTCTGAGATCACCGAGTCCAACCTTTGACCCAACACCACCTCATCTACTAGACCATGGCACCACATCCAGCCTCTTCCAAATACTTCCATTTCTGGGAAGAAGAGGAAATTCACGTTTGGAGACCCAGTGATGCCTTAAGATTCTTCTAGTTTTTTGGTTTTTCTAATTTTTATAAGCTTTACAAGTAGTTATATAGTAGAAGTAGATTTTAGAAGCAGCAGCCCTTATTCCTTTACCCTTTAGCACGGTAGTTTACACATTCCTCAACCCCTACATAACCCATTCCATGCTCCCATATCAATATCCCCTGAATTCCAGTAGAAAATGTTTAGTCTCTCTTTAAGAGCAGGCCCTTTTGTTTAAGAACACTTGTGCCTTGGCCTGAACTGCAAAAGTACAGTCAAGAAACTGGGTGACCGTGTACCCTTTGTGCTCTGAAGAAGATGAAAATGATGAAGTGGTCTTGAAAAGCCCCCAGCCCCAATTCCAAGGGGGTGGGACGGGGGTGGCCCAGGGCAAAAGTTACAGGGTGGAAACACTTGGGATTGGACAGACAATATTATAAATTGTAACACCTGTACACAGCCGGGGCACATCATGTAATCTTTGTGCCTAGGCACAAATTAAACCCTTTTCTTATCTCATCCTCAATTAAACTGCTCTGGAGCTTTCTTTCCTCAGCTCCTGCAGGCAAGACCAGAAATAAGTTTTTTTGCTTCCCATCCCTTTCCCCCAGAAAATAAGAAATAAGTTTTTTTGCTTCCCATCCCTTTCCCCCAGAAAATCATCCCGAGAAGCAACAAAAGGCCGAGCCCGGCGGGGCCGGGGCGGTTCTCACATCCATGAGGGCAGCATTGATGTAGTTGCTGGACTCGCCATCCACGGAGATGAGGAAGGGCAGGCAGCGGTCCAGGGGCAGCACGTCCATGCAGCGGTTCTTGTCGTGGTTGCGGGGCAGGAGCCCGATGCTGCAATCCTCCGGCCGCACCCGCGGCGTCACGATGTTCAGGGTCTGTGCCAGGGCCCGGGGGAGAGGGGGGACAGGGAGAGAGACAGAAACAGGCTGAGTGCCTTGGCATTTGCTCCCAAGAAGGATGCGGTGCCTCAGAGCTTTTTTTATTTTTAATTTTTACAGATTTTAGAAGTAGATTTTGATGTAGCTGTATTATATCCCTTACCCTGGAGCATAATGGTTACAAATACTCAACCCTACTACCCCATCTCATATCAATCCCTCAGAATTCCCTTAGCGTGTTTAGTCTTCTTTTCAAGGTAGAATTGTAGAAAAACACCTTAAGGCCTGGACCAGAAGATATCACACAGACACAGCGACCTTCAAGTCCAGAACTTTGGAGGAACTCCAAAGACTGTATGTGCTGTGAAGAAGATGAATATGAGGAAGAAGGGGTCCCAAACGCCCCCAGACTCAATTCCTGAAGGGGCTGGGGGTCAGAACAGGGCAGAACGGGGGGATGGACAAATTGGGATTGGATGGACCTTATTATAAAATCATAGAACCACTGTCTGAGCGGGTGCATGGTGTGTATTCCTTTAGGCCTATGAACTCATTAAAGGACCTGCTCTCTTTATCTTATCTCCTACACTAAATTGGCCTGGAGTCTTTTTCTCCACGGTCTTTTAGGCAACAATGCCTCATGCAAAATATGATTATTTTAAATGCACTTCCACTCGCAGATTTTGGGATCCCAGAGAAGGAAAACGAAGGAGCGCCGAGGAGGTTGTTGCTTTTGTACATTTGAATCACACACCTCCCAGCCATTTCCAGCTCCAAAACCCCAGAGCAGTCAGACAATATTCCTTTTCTTTCCTAGAAGCTGGAAATAGCTGTCACAGGGGCAAGCTGCAGTTTTGAGCTCCTCACTCCTCCTGCTTCTCCCATCCCTAGGCTGGAAGCTCTCATCCTTCTCCCTCTGCAAGAGGGTCCTGTGCAGGTGTACCCTGAGTACTGACTCACCCAGCAGGTCAGACTGGGTTCAAATCCTCCCGTGATTCCTCAGTCAAACTACTGATTTATCTTAGCAATGCACACAAAAATCTTAGAAAAATATATTTTTCCTTCTTTTTAACAGGAAAGCCTATTTGTTTCATACATTATTTAGATTGCTACTTTCCTTTTGGAGTGACACAGAGGATGCTTCACTTACATAGTCATACCTAATCTCTGGGGTCTTGCTGTCAAGTCTTTTTCTGTTATCTGTCTTTTCCTCAGCTTGACAAACTGTATTTCTTTAAATATATTTTTCTTTTGTGTTTTCTGTTGTGGAGGCCTCCTGACAAACCAGTCCAGGTTGGTCAGCAGGGATCAAAAACAGCAAATCAAAGCGAACACATCTTAACACCAGCACATAAGTGGTGGTAGATCAGTGGCTATCTGATGTCATTCTACTTTCTTTTGTTATGTGTTCTCTTCCTGAGCAAAGCCCATGGAGTAATACAGTGAACTCTTTGCAACCAGAGGAACACAAAATATTTAGGGGCCAAAAAGAACCTTAGAAAGGGCTTGACTTCTGCTACAGAGAGGTTATGGGTGGAGAAAAGAGGAGGGACAAACAATCCGAGATAAAAAACGTGTCAAAGTGTAAGATTTGAAATTATCTAGGTGCTATAAATTCTGCAGGTTCTACAGAAAGGCCCTTGTCTGGAGGTGGAAGGCAGGTTGGATGGGGAAAAAACATGAAATCTCAGATCTCTGACAATGCAGATAATCAGGCAGGTGGACTTGTTAGAGTGTCTATTTTACACCCTTCCCCTCTCTCCCTTGTTTCTGTACTGACTCAGATTACAAAAACTCTCCAGAACAAGCTTTTGTGTGTTCGGACAACATGTAGTGCATGAGAAACACATCCTGCCTTACCTGAGGGCCAGTGGGACCTAAACAATACAAACTGCATCCCCAGACCTACAGTTAGATCAGCTGGTTCACAGAGATTGCAGCAAAGATACCCAGCTTCTGCATTAAACCCAGACAATTAGGGCTGAAGCATGCTCTGAGCCAAAATCCTGTAAAAATAGATCCTACAACCAGACAGACACCGAACCTCTTATGCAAAGTACATTTGCAAAGAGCATTTCCTTCCCACAGGAGCTGCCAGTCCCTGGCAGCTCAAAAGAACAAGCACAGAGGTGACAAATCTTGTCTCATATCATGACAAAATACACCCAGCAAGTGAGGACTATTTTTTTTTTCCAGTGGCGTAACAGCTTTTGATGAAGTTCGGCTTCGGCTCCTTCATGCCAAGCATTCAGAACCAGAAACACTTTTATAGATCTGCTGTGCCTTGATAAAACCAGACCTTTTTTTAATTGAACTGTCATCAGTGGGGATCCGCTTTCTTTATCTCACTACACCAACCCTGATGATTCCCTGCAAGGCTTCAGATAAAAAAACACATATTCTCCCTCTGCATAGAGAGGGAGGAAAAGAGGCCTCTGACTCACTTTGGGGCTCCCAGAAGACATTCTCTTGCTAGAAAAGATACTTTCCTGGGAAAGGGGGTGGGAATTTACTACAATGAAAGAAATCTTCATCTTTTTACAGCTGACTGCAAGTGGCTTTAACAAACAGTAGAGGTCTCTCTCCTTACCGTCAAATTCACCTTGACCCAAATTTCCCACAATCTTTCTCACAAATTTTGCCCAAAAATTTCCCATAAATATTTCCCACAATTTTTTTTTTCCATATATTGGTGTTTGCAGAAAATCATAGAATCTCAGAATGGTTTGGATTGGATCACCTTAAACTCATGAGCAGGGACACTTTCCACTATCCCAGGTTGCTCCAAGCCCCATCCAGTCTGGCCTTAAACACTTCCAGGGATGGAGCAGCCACAACTTCTTGGTTCAACCTATGCCAGGGCCTCACCACCCTCGCAGGGATGGGGAAAAAGACTGGAAAACTTAATTCAGTGTTCTGCAGGGTCAGTTCCCCACTGCCTGAGAGGTACAACTGCACAGGGCTCATGGCTTGAGTGTCTCAATTTATCAGGGTGGGATAAGCAACAGTGACAGCAAACGGTGGAGGGGTCCCCATTTCCTTGCTTGCCCCCACTAATTCAGCACTTGTGAGTTTTCCTGTACATCACTTTGGGTCTCATCACCAGGTACTTGGCAAAACACCTGCAGTGGACTGAGAGATTCAGTTCATTGAGAACTAATAATAGCCAAAATAATGCTCACTGAGCTCCCTCTTTCCTCTGCGTGGAAGGTTGTCAACAAGTTGATTGTCAAGACTTGGGAGCAGTGTATGAGCCAGAAGAATGGATAATAAGCTACCTTGAGGCATAAATGTTTCTGCATAAATTATGGAAGAAAATGAACAACAGAGTATTTGCTGAAATGAGAAGTACAACATTACGTGTGAGAATCAGTACCCTTGCTCTGCTGAAGTAACAGGGAAATTTTTTTCCTTGCCAAAGGCTGAAAAATCCATGCTCAAAAGCAAACCTCTGCCTGATCCAGGAGTAATAACAAAAATCATCTGAAATCAGACCTTGGCTCAGTGTCCCCCTCCTCTGCTCTGCTGGAAACTGTAAAATAACACACAGAAACTGATTAAACACCTTCTATACACCAACTGCAGTGACATATCAAATTACCTGAAACTCATCTTTTATCTGGCTGGAATTGGTCTGTGGATCCAGCCTGCTGATGTTGTAATAGATGGATCTGAACTCACAAACTGGAATGGCCGTGTTGCCACAGAGACATGCCTCCAAAATGGCATCATGGACAAACACATACTGCTCCTGCACAGGAGAGGGATGAGACGTTAAAATCATATTTAGAATACGGATCATGAAACATCACACTTTTTTCCCCCCTTAAATCATGCCCAATATGCATATTTGGCTCTGTTTCACGTGGAGACAAATTACACAGTGTGCTATGTGACAGCTTTGTGAGCATATTTCATCCATCACTGGATGTGAGGTCTCATGTATTCACTTCAAATTTACAAGTAAAATGGGAAGTTGCCACTCTCAGGAATGTCAGGACAAAATGGGGGTGGGCTGAGGAGGAAATCAGGGTGTAAAGCCTTTCTGTTCATAATTGTGAGGCAATGGTCAGGAATGGGCTTCTGATAACATCAGAGAATCACAGAATTGTTTAGGTTGGAAAAGACCTCTAAGGTCATCAAGTCCAACCATCACCCAGCACTGCCAAGCCCACCACTAAATCATGTCCCCAAGTGCCACATCAACATGTCTGTTAAAGCCCTCCAGGGATGGGGACTCCACCACATCTGTCCCTGGACAGCCTGTTCCAGGGCTTGACAATCCTTTGGTGAAGCAATTTTCCCTAATTTTCCATCTAAACCTCCCCTGGCACAACAGTACAAAACCAACTGTTCTAACAGGTCACCTCCATTCATGTCTTCAGAATCCTGGACTCTTGGTATTCTGGGTATTCTTGCCCTGAAGTAAATATAGAAATTCCAACCAAGTTAACAACCCTTCTCCATTCCAGGCTATTGTCCTGTCCCTCAGGAGGGGAAGGCATTAAAGGACACACATAAAACTAGTGCAGCAGGAGCACAGTTCCACAGGATCTGTGCAGCTGCCAGACACTACACACGATGGAGCAGAGCTTGCTTAATCAGCACCCAGAGCTGGAATCAAGGATGTTTTCTTTGTTTAGCTCCAACTGATGTACACGAGGTACTACTGGAGCCTGCAGTGTGCCTATGAATGAGTCATGAGAGGATTCAGGAGCTCCTTTTTCCTACCATGAGAATAAAATTAATCAGCAGTGCACAGACCTAAACTTTGAAGGTTTGCCCTCCTGTCTGGGAGGCCCCGAGTAGCTGCCAGTGAACGTGATTCGATGCACATCTGGGGGCATGTTCAGCCTCTGAAAGTTCTGCATAATCACAGCACACAGCAAGTGTTGACTTAATGAATTGCTGGGTTGCTGTTGAGGGGAGAAGCCGACAGAAAAGCAGTACCTTGGAAAGGGAGAGCTGCTGGCACCCACCTCTGTCTGCACCAAGTTGACCCTCTGGGACCGCAGCTCCCGCACGCAGTTAAAAATGTCCACCACGCCCTCGTTCTCTGCCATGTCGAGCATGATGTCAATGGCAATAAAGCAGCCTGTTCTCCCTGCCCCAGCACTGGAAAAGAGAAAACCAGGAGGCTCTGGGTGACCCAGGGAGCATGGAGAGGTAGGACTCTGTGGAGGAGAAAATAACAGCAGCACACACACTGCTGTCTTCTCCTGGGAGCTGCTCCCGCTCCCTGTTGGGTTCATTTTTCTGTGTAGCTAAATCAGCTTGGGATTCAAGAGAATGAGGTGAAATAAAGTTTGTTGAAAGGGAAATGGACCTAGGCAGCAGAAGGAAAAGCTTTGTGTTATTCAACAGCAACAAAAAATTGTGTAAATAATCATTACAATTTCACAGGTCTGTTCACTTGCACCCCTCTCACCACACAGGATGTGGGAGAGCAGCCTCCGGGTTGCAAAGAGACACAATCCCAGAGATTTTCTTCTAGGGGACTCCTTAAAAGGCATGCACACCTTTACTCCAGTGGGCATGATGAAAGGGGCTCACTCTTCCACCTCAAACACTCCCTTTCCCTTTTTAATCCAGGAGTTTGGGTCCTGAGGAGGGTGATCTCAAGTCACAGATTGTAAAATCACAGAGGAAGGAGCTCAAGGCTACTCAAACCCTCCAGTTCAGAGCTCCCTGCTGCTCGTGAGAACTGGGCCATCTCCTGCAAAACTGTGTTGTCATCGTGTCCTCCTTCCCTCCCGGGAAATCATCCAAGCTGCTTAGGTGTGAAGGATAGAGAGAGGAGAACGCCTCTTCACATTGCTCCCAAGGAAGGAGGAAAACTCTGCTCAAATCAGGGAAACTTCAGCTGCCTGAAAACTCCAGCAGAGCCAAAGCAAGGAGATATGAATGACCATAAATTAATGGACCAGATTAATCAACGGCTGAATAGAGAGACGATATTTTTCATTTGCAGAATTTTAATGAATAAGTGGCATTTCCTCTCCCTTTATCTCTCAGCTTTTCAGAAATTTAACAAATAGTTATAACATTTCTATATTTAGAGGATCCTGGCACTTCATAAATATCGAACAGTGATATTATCCAGCCAGGCATCAGTGGGGAGAATTTGGTAATTACCACTTAAAGCAAGTCATTAAAATTCAAAACCAGATAAATAACACAGAGGAAATGGCTTTTATTCATTAAAATGGGAAGGGTGAAAAATCTCTCCTTGCTTTCTTGGTGACAATGAATCAGGTTGAGACACCTTCCAAGGCATGTCATGGCACCAGGGTAGCAAACTCAAACCCTGAGCTCTAAATGAGTCCCTTCTGCCAGCTCCTCAGGCTTAGCTCTATTTGATTATAAAACTGATTAATTGCTTGCTAAAAAAAACACTCCAACCAAAGAAAACACCCACCCAAACCAAAACTGTTTTAAAAAGATAAGATTTAATTGATTTTCCTTTTTAAAATAGTCGTGGGATGTGCTCTCTCAAGACACAGTGTGGGAATTAGTGGTAATTCCCTGCGGATTGATTAGGGGTGAGATTTTGGGACAGCCAGCCCTGCTCTTCAGGCTTGTACTCCAGCCATGTCTTCTTTAGATCACACATGCCCTGTGCCCTGCAGACATAACTGCTGCTACAAACCCAAACTCGGGTTTCATAGCAATGTCTTCCCTTGCATTTGAAGTCACTTAACTCCTCTCATTTACCAGCTGAAAGGCACTGGGCAGGTTTTTAGCCTGACATTCCCATTCCAGCTTCCTGGGCTTTCAGAAAGCCAAGGTGCCCACGGGCTGGCAGCCAGACTAATATTTCAGATCACAAAATCATCGAATGGTTTGTGTTGGAAGGGACCTTAAAGATCATGTTGTTCCAGTTCCCCTGCTGCGGGCAGGGACACCTTTTACCAGACCAGAGAAGACCTTTGATGCTGGTACAAAGCTGAGCTGCAGCACATGTGGGTACAGAGAAGCAAAGCTGCTTTAAAATTCCCTTTTTGTCGGCATTGTCCCTTCTGCCACACGAGGTTTGTTGAGCCTGGAATGGCTGTCCCAGATATTTACCACTTTCCCAGCTTTGCTATGAGCACTTAACAGAGTACAGGACACCAGGGGGTCTTCTACATTTAAAAGGCCCTCTCTGCCCTACTTCCATCATCTCCAACTCAGCCAGCTTGGCTCCAAAGCCGCCACTTCAGGAAAGGAAAACACGTTTCCCTTTGTTTGCTGGCGAGACCCACAAATCATACTCTCAAACAAAGGAGGGGCAGTTGGTTATGGGCAGACAGGAAGAAAAGAGATGGAAAGAGCTGCGGGAGGAGAGGCTCAGGTGGAGGGCTGGCATACCTGCAGTGCACCACGATGGGTCCTGCCTCGGGGGGGTTGAGGAACTTCACCTGGCGCACGAAGCCCAGCAGGCCCGTGGCGTAGCAGGGGACGCCGTGGTCCGGCCAGCTGGTGAAGTGGAACTGCCGAATCTCTCGGATCTCATGGTAGCCTTTCTGAGGAGACAACACAGCCTCTATTTTTCTTCCATCAGGCTGCAATCGGCACATTCTGACCCCTGCTCCCTTCCCTCACACAGAGGGATAACAAACACTGAGCTCTCACTGCACACAGGGACGTGTCCGATCCTGCCTTTCGCTCCCAAAAGTTTTGAGCTGAACTCCAGCTGCCAGTGAAGTGAGCACTGTGAAGGTGGATACCAGCTCCCAGTTCAAACCCAGCTCATTAGGCATGTCCAAGGGTGACCTCAGCCCCAGCACACCGTGGCTGTGTTTATCCACCTTCCTCGGTGTCATTATAAACCACCCAGAAGTCACTCTTAAACCCTCTTTGAGGCATTGAAGCAACAGCCTCAGGAATGAAGACCCAGAGAGGGGGCATGTCCCAAGACATGGTAGATTTTCTGCAACAAATTCTCAGTTGGAGATACCACTGGCAGGGAAAAGGGCAGAAACTGGTACCCACACCCATCACTTGGCTTTTCTGGTGAGATGAAGTTCTTGGTAGGTGACAATTGGCACCTCTGGTATATGCCCTGCTAAGGGTAACCCCGAAGTGTTGGTCAACTGTGATGTCTTATACAGGAAATGTGGGTGGAATCCAGCAGCAGGTCCTCTACCCTGTCAGATTTTGGCATCAGCACTTCTCACCAACTTCTTCAGTGATTTAATGAAATATGGAGCTGATGTGTCAGAAAACTGAAACAATATTCCCAGCGTGGCTGAAGTTCATTTAGCAGGAGTTTTGGAAAAGGTTTAAAACCACTTACTGAGTGTTTGGAAAGTAATTTGGACAGACCTGGAATACTCTGACACTTAGGCTTCCAATTTTTAATTACAAGTAACGAAATCTCCCAAATCATGCCAATTTGGGGATAGTTTTTATACTCTTGCTTTTATTACATTCTCATTTCTGTTCAAAGGGGACTCTACCTGGCATCCAGTTTAACTGGTACCTTTTTTCATCTGCCATTTGCCACTGTGAAACAAGACAGTTATTATTCCTGGCATATCATCAGCTGTCTGCTGGCTTTTGGATGCATTTAAACTTCATGCACTGTGGATTCTACTTCTGTGGTTCCATCAAGATGTTCCTGTAAAATCATTTGTCCAAAAATGGAATCTCTGTCAAAAAATTTAGTTTTCTGAAGTGAAACCTGTCCAAATAGTCACAGCTCCCATCTCCAGGAGCATTCTGGATATGTTTCCCAGAGTTCCCAATTCTGAACACAAATGAAGTGTTGCATCAAAATTTCGGCTGCCTGAAGACTTCCTTACCTTTTGGACCGTGAATGTCCGTATGACATACTCTGCCAAGGGTTCTGTCTCAATTAATGTGACTTTAATATCTCCATAGACCTCTGTGTCATCTGGCCAGTATCGAACACACTTCACCTGGGGGGAAAAAAAGACAATATTGAGAGGAACGAGCTCAGCTTGAGTCACAGCTGACCTACATTTTCCTCCACTTTCAAGCTGAAGCCAACGCAAATCGAGCTTTCTTCTGATGCACAGACCTTGTCAAAATTAACTGTATAAATCAGATCAAAATTCCTTTACCAGATATAGAAGCCACAGGGAGGATTTTTTGTTTTTAAATTTGCTCTGTTGTCAATAAAAATGCAAAGGATGCATTTAGCTCCTTTTTTAGACAGTCTTCCTTGAATTTCCATACATATCCTGCCCATAGATCAGATGTACCTGGCAGTCACTGCCACTGCCCCCTCTGAGAAAAGTCTGTGCTCCTGCTCTGTAATTCTGAACTCTCTGTTTAGCCAAAGAATTTCAGTTCATGGGGATTGTGGGATACTTGTAGATACACTAAATTTGTTTGGCTCTGAGCTTTTTCTATAAGATGTGGACACAAACTTGGCATTTTACCAGCTGTGACAGGCCTCAGCTAAGGCTCAAGAAGGAAATCTCCTGAGCAGGTAAACATATCCCAGCTTAGCCAGTTCTGAAAGCCATGTGCAAAACTAACACACTAGAAATAAAAGCCAAGGCTGGGAAGCTCCAGAAGGGATATTTAGGCTAACAAAGACTATCAGGTTATTAAATGCTCTAGCATGAAAGAGTGGAACAGCACCTAAAAGCTGAAGCAATTAGCTGTTGCAAAGCAGGTTTCATGTTCCAGTTCCAGTCATAATTGAAAGGGGTTTATAAATATTAAATATGATTAATGTAGGCTTGTTGTGGGGTTTTGTTTTGTTTTTTTTTACACAGAGGCATTTATTTCAAACTGAACTGCCAGTAAAAGGTAAAATATAATAAATAACAATAAATGAACAGAAGCAGCTGGCATTCAACCATGAGATCTAAGGGAAATCATATTTGAATTACTAATGGCTGTGAGTAAACTATAATTTAATTTTTTTTTTCTTAGTACAAAAGCAATGGAAAGGGTCAAACATCAGGACAAAAATTTTAAGAACTCCAGTTTCTGGCTGAGAAAGTCTCTAAACCAAAGAGGCAAGAATATTTTGGGGAAAGCCACCCCAGACATACTGCCTTCTTATCTCCTAAAGTCAAGCCTCCACCTTTTGAGTTATCCATGTTTGCTCCCTTTGTGGGCTTTGGAAATTGCCTTGTGCTGACACAAGGACTTCTGGTCCACCTGAGAGAGAACTGGTGGGGGTTTAGGATTTGGACTGTCATTTAAAGAAGTCCTTTGATAGTTTGAGCACCAGCCTCACGTCCTCACTCATCCAGATTTTTAGAGAAGTATTGAAATCATTAGAAAAAGAGTAATTATTACAGAAGTACATTTTTCCTCCTGTACTGAAAAAGGAGAGAGCTTCTGAGCCTGCATAAATTTGTGTAACTCTGCCAAGCCCAGACTTACAGTAGGAACATGATCCCTACTAGTCTAGAAGGGAAGCAGTTAAGTATTAGAAACTCCAGAGTTTTAGGGAAAACTCAGAGTGGCTGAATTAATTTCCTTACTACAGGAAGCAAAAGGCATTTTGTTGCTGAGCTTGACTGAGCAGCAGCATCATGTTAAAGCCAGTGCAGGTCTGGCTTTACACACTGGGAAAGTGGCACCTTACCCTGCCCACTTCCACCAGGTTGGTGACCATGACAACACTTGCAGAGTTTTCTTGCCAAATCATCCTCCAGAAATCCTTCACTGTCTCTTGCATTGGCCCTGGGGCAGGAGAGAAGACAAAAGGACATCTCAAGGCAGTGCAGTGAATGCCAACAGTTCTTTCCAGATGTTCTCTGGCCATTGTCCTGTTCCCACAGGATCCTGCTCTCCCTTTCAGAGCATCCCTCTGTGATTCAGGGTTACAGACAGGAATGGCCTGGAGCTCTCTAAGAGCTCAGACCCTTTCTCACAGTGGTATTTAAGGGTATTTAAGTGGGTATTTCAGGTTCCAGCATTGTGGCAACAGAGGTGATGGTGGGATTGTAGAGAGTGGAGATGGTTCCAGTAATTTTGTGTAAGTGATGGGACAGGGATGCACCCTATAGTGAACCTGTAAGTGAGGCTGGATAGAAATTTGCACCTGATGCACCTCTAAAATTCTTCCATGTCACACTTTATATTGATTAATTATGAAGGAGGAAGGAAACATGCAGAAATTAGCCCTTTTCTGAAGTTTCCCCAGAAAAATTTCAGGTTCCAACAGCCAAACAGCCAGTGCTGACAAGAGGTTTATCAGACTAGAGCCTCTCTCTGACCTTCTTTCCTTTCTCTTTTCTACACTGGAGGTGAAATCCTTCTACTGACTCAATTCACACACTCAGCTCATACTCCATCCTCCACACTCTCTGCCTTCCTGCATTCCCTATCCCCATACATCCTCAAACACCAGGTTTATTCTAATCTTTCTTTACTCTTTCAATAGGGATAAGCCAGCAATGAACCCATAAAGTAGAAATTAGGAATTATAGGATTTCTGTGGACATCACCTTTGGGTTAAGAATGCACAAAAATGAGGACAAATAATGGTAGAGGAAGTGGTCATGGCATAAGAGTTGGGCCAGTGATGCAGGAAAACAGCCCCCTGCTGTAAAGATCAGGAGTAGGGAGGTTTGTAATCTAACATGGATAGTCCTAAGTTCCCCAAAACAGGTGATGTCACCCTATAAATAGCTCCTCAAACAATTTAAAACAGCAGTGGTTTTACAATAATTTAGACATACAAGAGTGAACTTGCCTTGAGTTGCAATGTAATGGCGAGGCCGGTGGTACCCCTGGAAAAAAAGAAAACACATAAATTCCTGTGAGATCACAGCTCAGGGAAAGCACTGCATGGATTTGATACTCTCCAGGTACCAACTGCTGCACTCTGACAGTGTATAACTGGTTACTGAATGAATAAAAGGGGGCAACCAGGTTTCCCTGTGAGATTTTAAGTGAGGGTATCTTGCTCAGGTTGAATAATAAGATTTCATTATGCCAAAGAGAAAATTGGAATGGGCATTTTTTAAGCGCTTCCTCAAAGAAATGCAAGTCCTGTGATTAACCTGTGGGTAACTCTGAAAGCTGACAGGCAAAACACTGCATCTTCTCATTTGAAAAAGAATAAAGGTACGAATTTGCCTCTGTGTGAAAGTGCTGCCTAAGTGTGTTTTTTATCCCTTAAAGAAACTATTCGAAACATTTCACGTTCCTGGGATTTAGGAGCTGCATACAAGAAGTGCATGTTCATTTGATCACTGGGTGGGAGAGGGAGGCTGGTTTTCAAATGCTTTTTTGTAACACTAAAAAAAAGCCAGTCTATTTACGTGCCTTCTGCACTACAACTTTGTAAGTAGTTGGCAAATCTCAGATACCCACTAATGCTACTGTGAGGGGCTGACACTGATTCCTGCATCCATCATTTAGCCCACATTCCACTTATGTTGGTGGATCTGTCAAACACAGGAAATCTCCATCTGCCCAGATTGGTCAGACAAAATAAACTGGAGACTGAGAACCTTCTCCCTGTCACAACATGATGTCTGTGTAACGTTCAGCTGTCACTCAGAGCAGATCAACAGTCTGTCCCTGTGTCAGAGGCACCAAACTCCTGAGCAGAGTTGTCACAGGAATGTTTGTCACACTGGGGATGTCCAGGAGCCTTACATCGATGTAATTGGCATTGATGTAGTCAGAGTGAGGGTCCCCATCCAGCAGCTGCAATCTCACTCTTGAGTGATCATCTGAAAGAAGGAAAAGGAAAAAAAAGTGACAGTAACGATAAACGGGAGTTTCTGAGCGGTTCGTGTGCTGGTTCCTGCAAATGGGTATCACAGAAACACACAATGTCCTAAGTTGGAAGGATCATCAAAGTCCAGCTCCTGGCCCTGCACAGCACACCCCCAAGAATCCCACCATGTGCCTGGTAATTGGGTAATTCAATATTTACAATAATAAAAACCATCACATGTATCCCTGTTCCTAAAAACCTTTGTGTTTAAGACGTAGTGTTTGCATCCTTAAGTCAGTCATGTTCTGTGTTCATTAAATTTGCTGCTGTCACCATAGTCCTTATGGAGGTTTGAGACAGGTCCCAAATGCTGCCTGGTTTGGGAGTCTTGGGACAGATCTTTGCAGGGTGTATCTCCATTACAAAAGGCATTTTCCCACTAGGAAGTTACAACCTCCCTGGCTTCACCTGATCTATGGAAACTGAGGCAAGAGCTAAAACTGACGGGACCAGGATAAAAATAAATAGGTCACAACAGAGGTATAGAAGATTAAGGAGGGTAAAATGGCAAACGAAACCCTGCAAACAAGAAATGGGGCAACCCAGAAACCTGAAGGGAAATATGAAAGGAAATCAGAGCAACGTTCCTTTATGCAACCCCCAGAACTCACAGCGGCAAAATGGCATCAAGGCAGTGCTGAAAAAAACAACAAAATTAGAAATGTTCATCTCTTCGAGGAGGTTCAAAGTTACTTTAGATAAGGCAATAAAACAGCAGAGATCAATCTTTTCATCTCCCAGCACGCTCCACAGTTCAGACGCAGGAAGGAACTACCCCAGCGGGCAGATTATGTCATGATTTTCCACCAAGGGAATAGTTTGATCTTTCTCTGGAACAGCTGGTGCTGGGCTCTGTCACAGGAGATACTCCTGAGCCAGGCTGCTGATGTGATTTGCTCTGGCAATCCCAGCACTGGCATGGAATTAATTGCAGAACTGCTATCTAAGGGCCAGTTGCTTGGCAAAGGCTCCTGGGTTACAGGGGTCATTGCTGGCCATGCTGTGCTCATTTCTAAATGATTTTTTAAAAGAAGTATAATATCGAGTCCATTAAGTTTATTTCCTCCCTACCAGCTATATAGACCGTAGCTCTGACAGCAAAGCTTTAATGTTCACCAGCACTTTGCAAAATACAGGCCCGGGCATGATTTACATTCAATTAAAAGGAACCATAGCAATGAAACATAAAAATACGAGGCGCAATTCTGCAGCAACTCAGTCAAAAAGGGTTTTTGTCATGACTTAATTAAATGTAGAATCAGATAATAATTGTGAAGACAGATGTTTGGGCAGCTCTGAAACCCAAGGCTTGGATATATATTAAATATTCATTCGGTTATGTAAAGGAATGGTCCTACTCTGTTCATTCTTTGGGTGAGATTTACACACCTCGTTGCTGTGTTTATGAAATCCCACATTTGCATTCGGAGAAGGTTATGCAGGTGAATCCATCAGAAGCTCTGTTATATTTGTATTAATAAATATCACCTTTGTAGACACAGGGAAGTGGGTACATTTCTCAGAGCGCTGATGTCCCCAATTACCTGCGCTCAAGGCAACTGCACGAGGAGCTGCAGTAAATCATGTGCTCAGACAGACAACAAAAGAATTTATACTTAGAGCAATTCACAAAGACAGACAAAGAGCTGATTAAACTGGACATCTGGATGAAATACAGAAAAAACTCCCGCAGCCAATTTCCCACTTGCAATTCAGGGCAGCAAACGGAGCTTGTTGAGAGTCCCAGGGAACAACAGCAAAGGAAAACAAACCCTGGAGGTGATGGTGGGGAGGGGAAACATTTACTGACTCAATGCCACAAGAGAACAACGTTATGGAAGTGTCAGCTTACTGCAACTAAAAATGAGACCAAAAATGCCCCTCGTGACAAGTGAAAAGAATCCCAGGTTGATTTTTTAAAGTGGGACCAAGACAATGTCTCTGCACAGGGTGTAGCTCAAGTGCTCCAAACAACCCTCGAGGAAGGACCTGCCCCTCTTCATTTAACAGAGACAAACTCCAAAATTAAGTTTCAGCTCTTTGAGCCACTCTTTAGACAGAAACTTAAGCCAGGCAGGATGAATATCTCTGGAGGGAGCTGAGTGGGGAAGACTGGAGAAGCAGAGTGAGAAGCTTTAGGCACTTCAGACAATCACAGATAATTATGGATAAAGGAAAGAAGCTCCACAGGTGCAAAAAAAGTGTTGTTGGTTTGGGATTTTTTTAAGCCAAATAATGGAAAACCCACAAAGGGTGAAGAAATGATCATTGAAAATTAATGCTATTTATCAAAAAAAAAAAAAAAAGGAGACATCCAGGTCAAATCACATTTTGGGACCAAATGAGAAATACTTTGCTTTGGGAGGACAGAATTCAAAATATTTCATTGCATATTTTACAAAAATGAGATTAGTTCCTGAGGGAGATTTATTGCTCTTACAAGTGAGAACAGTGCAGCAGAAAAAAAAAATCTGTGTATATGCTAAGCACACAAAATATTAATGATATCTTAATGGTGTCTTTAACCTTGTTCAGAAGTTTAGGAGCAGAGTCTGGATAAAACTTCATAAAATAACTTACCTTGTAAATCTCTTCTTTCCACAAAAAACTTTGGAACTTGTTTTTTTTTTTTTTTTAAGGCAAATTATCATGCTCTTAGCAGTAAAAATCTTAGGGGCTTTTGCCTACAGACTTTAAAGGCCTTTTTAAAGCACAACAAATGTCTTCATTATATCTTCTCCCAATGGTTAAAACTGATTTCTGATTCTGCACTTTATTCACTGGACTACACTACACAAGGTGACCATGTATTTGTCACACTGAAATGAAAGGTTCACTCAACTCTTCATTAAATTTATCAGACATCATATCCCAAGTGCTACAAATGGACTCTAAGAAACTTTTAAAAATGGAGGGAGAAACAGGAAAAAAACCCGTGCCTTCAGGAACCACAAAAAATGGAAATAGGCTTTAACAAACGTATAAATAATTTTATTTCTCCCTGTTTACTATAGTCAGTATGCAAGTTAGCAGAACTCTAAATTTATATGAAGAGTACTTTGACTGAAAATTGGTCTTGAAACAGATTTCAAAAATGACAAGAATTTCAGTGAAAAGCACTGTGATCCCATTTTAGCACAAAATTGTCACCATTTTAAACTTCTGTCAAAATTCCCATTAGTGATCGTTTGAAATATCATGGCAATTTCTCCCCATCTCATTTTGACACCAGCACTGGATTAATCTCACACAACTTTCGCCATCTAAATATTACTCAGCTCGTCTAAATTGGCTGTCAAGGTTCCCCACAGTCAAGGGAGAAATCCAGACATCTTTTGAAATGACTCAACCCAGTTCTGGTACAAAAGGATGATTTGCCCTCTCAAGGACACTCTGTCCTCCCCTTTTTCCTCCCACTGATCCCAGACTGTGCCTGGAGAGCTGGGTAACAGTCAGGTGGGACAAATCCCATCCTCTCAGGGTCATAAACCATGGGCATTGCACAGACACACAAGAGTTTAGGCACTACAGGAGAAACCATGCAATAAAAATGCTTGGAAGATGAAGGATTTCTGTTCTAAATCCAATGCTGACATGGGAGGCCCTGGCACAGGTTGCCCAGAGAAGCTGTGGCTGCCCCTGGATCCCTGGAAGTGTCCAAGGCCAGGTTGGACGGGGATTGGAGCAACCTGGGTTGGTGGAAGGTGTCCCTGCCCATGGCAGGGGGTGGAATGAGATGAACTTTTAAGTTCCCTCCCAACCCAAACCATGCTGTGATTCTATGTAGGGTTTTAGGGGCACTGCACCTGCATGCCTGCTGAAAGCTCCTTTAATCTCTCTCTTGTTCATCCCTTCCACTACAAAATACTCTGATTCATTCACAGTCTTCTAGCCCAAAGCATCTGGCAGTCAGAGCATGAAGGAAATACAGCAAATTTCTCTACTGTCTTTTGTCATCAACTCAATAGTTTTTAGTGGAACATCACAAGACTTTAAACCCAGGGTGGCTCAGTGGGGAAAAGAAAGGGACAAGAAGTGCTCTCCTATGAGCTGAAGTAAAACACAATCCCATGTCTTTGCATCCTCAGCTCTCATCTGAGAGTTTGTTACTCCCCTATAATGTGATGGCTCTAAATCTGAACAAGATAGGGAGAAATAAAATAGTACCAAAGGTCCCATTTAGCTTCTGAGTATTTTCTCTTCTATGGAATAGATTCAGCTCAACCCAAAAAAGCTCAACGTCTCTCCACTAACAACCACTTTCTGATGCTCTTTGAAGGCCTCAATATCTAGGCCCTAGAGCCTAGAGATTTAAATCATTTTGCTTCAGCACATAGATGGATCCACAGCCTACCCTTGCCCCCTAAAGATAAACTTTGCATCTCCACAGCTGTCTTTGTTGTACAGCTTTTATAACCTCAATGCAGGAGCAAAACTCATGAACTCAGTTGATATAATAAAAGGTTTGAGCAGAGCAGCTTCCTCCAGCATGGGAAGTCTGGGCCATTGCAGTGCATCCTCCCACCATCCACAGTGGATTTCTGTGGTCATACAGACCCCAGATCCACTGCTCAGCTTTTCTACTTTTCCAAAAACATACCGCTGCTGTGGAAGGGAACCCCGAAAATGTGGGATTTAAAGCATGGTGGAGTTCAGAGTTCTCTTGCCTCTCCTCTCCATGAGCAGATTAGCTCTGAGATTGGTTTGCAAATGAAGAGGAGCAGGTGTTGGGGCTGACAGCACGATGTGGGTTTTCAGAGAGAGGCAGGATGTTAATCCAGCCCTGGGAGAGCAGTGAGCCGAGTAAAACAGTCCTGTAACTGTGCTATTACCCAGAAGGCCAGAAAGACAAGATCTAATCTGCTGTGATTCACTGAGCAGTGCTACTTATTGCAAGGGCTTACAAACCCCCATTTTAACACAAGTCTCTGAAGCAGTTACAGAAGTTAGATCAAAACCTGGCTTTTCAGTTCACTCCCCACAAGGCAGGGGATATCCTGTTCCAGGAGTGATAAAACAGCACTGGTGGTTAAATAAATAATGTTAATTGCTACCTGCAGCCTTTTACCAAATCAACTGGCAGGAGCAACCAGTGCCTGCTCTGAGTTTCCCCAGCCATTACAATTCTAGCACAACTAAGCAGCTCAGGGTGTCACCACGTTCCCCCTCCTCTGCTCAGGCTTTGGCACAGCTTGTACCCACCAGAGCACAATCCATTTGCAGGACATGCCTAGAGGGAACCCCTTTCCTGCTACTCTGAGCTCTGCTTTTGCTCCTTTGCTCTGGATCCTGTCACTGCCTTTACTCGGGGAAATTGCCCCGTGTTGCCCATCAGCAGGGTCTGGCTCAGCCAGTGACACTGCTGTAATTTCCCAATGGTTTTATAAAATGATGGATGTTATGCTCCTTCCTTAGGCATCCTCCCTTCATTCTCCCAGGCCTCCTCAATAGAAGCAAGGACTTCACTCCATTTTATCACTGTTGCACATTACTAAATTCTCCTTGCTGTCTTTTAGAAGAGCTGTTGTCTCCTCCTCAAACTCTTTGTTCAGATATTTGAAGTGAAGAAAACCCACTCAGCTTTGTTATTCACCTTCAGCTTGTCTGCATCCTTCCTCTTTCACTTTGCTTTCCTTATCTGTGCCTTTCCACCCTCTAAACCCCATTCTGAAATCTTTCCCAACAGCCCTTCCCACTCGAGCTTCTTTTCTGACATTTTATCCTGTGCAGACACTTCTTCCTTAGCTCTGATTACATTTTGCATTCCCTTATTCAGGTTCATCACCTCCTATCTGCTCTGCTCCTGTATTTATATTTATAGCTAAAAGGCTCACATCACTCTTCGTTAGACAACAATCCGTCTCTGTGAGCACCTTCCCTTTAGACAACAGCCCGTTCATCTTCCTGGATTTTGCTTCCTAACTTCTCACTTTTCACTTGGGAGTTCAACGTTTTCTTTGTGACCACCTTCAACCTAAGTGGGATGGTGGCTGTTGCACGGGGTCTGGCCTCTTTTCACTTCCACTTTTAAATTATGCCAAGTGCTTCCTCAGAATCACACAGAGAAACAAAGTTTTTCTCATTTCCTTCCTTATATCACACGATGGCACTTCCACCTTCAATCCAGTGTTTGCAGCCGGATGATTCATCTGTCTTAGACTCATCTAATCTCAGTTAATTGCACAGACAGGTAAATTGAGCCTCTGGCTGGAGGTGTCTCTCTTTGCCACAGGAAGCTCCCAGCGAGGTGGAGCTTTCAGGCAGCTGAAGTTAAGGGAGACAATTTTCATGCTAATTGTAATGCTCCACTACTGTCACTTCCATTTTCCACACGGAGACAAAAAGACTGATGGCCTGGGTGACCTGCTCACAACCAGTGCAAAGCCAACAGCAGAAGTGGGATCAGATCAGGGCTCACAAACTTCTGATCTTTGTTTCCAGATTTCTTCATCTTTGCCACAGGGGTTCTGAACTGAGCTGTTCTATGCCAGTCCCCCCCAAAGTGCCACATGAATAATTTCTTCCAAGTCTTAAAAGAGAGGAGATGATGTTTCTCTGCAATCTAGGTTTAGTTTGGTTTTTTGTTTGGTTGTTTGGGTTTTTTTTAATTCTTTGGTAAAGTCTATTTGTTCTACAGGAAATATATATTTAACCCAAGAAAAAAATTGCAGTGCAAAATATATCCCTCAGCATGACTTAATTTGGCTTTTATAGTATTCTATAGATGTATCCAGTCATGAAAATCTATAGCACATTCATTTATATTCTTATTTCTTGTTCTGATGGTCTCAAGCTTGGCTTCTCCAACTTGATGCCGCTCAGCAGCCCCTGAAAAGAATTACTTTTCACACCTCCTCCCTGCAGTCATAAGGAATAATGAAACACTGGGATGAGCTGCCCGGGGAGCCTGTGGAAAGCTCAGCCTTGGAGATCAACTTTGGAAGAGGCTTCAGAAATATCTGATAAAAATAAGAGAGATGAATCTAATCCCGCCTTGGAGAATAAAGCTGACTCAAGTGGCTTTATGGAGTTTCTGCCTGTGTTTCTGCAATGTATCAATATTCCAATAACATCAACGATAACTGATCACTGAAAGAAGTAAACTAAGAGGTTTCAGTGCATTTTCAGCTGCCTTATTGTGATTCTGAGGCAGAAGTTGAGCTTGTCCCACCCATCAAACCAGCTCTCTGGGGACAAGCAGCGACTGCTCCACTGGTTCCTGACCACAAGGAAGGAGGAAATCTGATCTCTGAGACACATTTAAAAACCTGATCTACCTGCAGCTCCTTTTGTGCTCCCTTGTGAAAGCTCTGGGATATGAAGTAAAAATGGACAGAAAATGGGCATCATCACATACTGTGAAAATCTCACAAAAGCATTCAGCCCTTAAATTACAAACATGAAGCACAAAGCAAGGCTGATATAAGATGGGTAAAACCCCCACAAATCCATGCAATGATGTCATGTAAAATAATTATAAACCCCCCCATAAAACAAACCCGAACATGTTAGCCTGCAACAAATGGACTGAGCTCCTGAACGCTCAGCACTGTAAACCAGATTGCAGTGAGCTCCTCAAACACACTCCTTCCCACAGCATGCACATAAAATCTCCCAGGAAGCTCAGTTTAATGTGAATTTACACCTACAGGAGATTATGTTCCCGTATCTGTTCTTATTGCGGTTTTCATCCTCCTTGGCCGTGTCCCAGGACGCCGTTTGGCCCTCGGGGAGTGCCTGCAAAACAAACAACAGTGGCCTGTTTATAAAGAGCTGCCCAGTGCCTTCAGGTGGGTGAAGAGGCCTGAGCAGGACAAAAATAAAGGCGCTGAATAATTCAGCAGCTGACCAAGCAAAAGGCTCTTTGAGGAAAGGGTGTCTCCACTAATGCGAAATGTGCAGACCATTTGCATCTCTTGGCTTCTGCCAGCCAAGAACAGTTTTCCTCCTGCTACTTCTCATCTAAAAGGATCAGGGGAATTTGTTTCTGGCTGCACAGCCACAGGGTAACCTCATTTTCCCCTGCAGAACAAGACTGGTGGAGATCTCAGGTAAGTACACCTCTGAGAGAACCCAGAGGGCTGAAACGCAGCGCTCGGCCCTTCGTACTGGAGTTGAAAATAGATACAGTGGTTTCACCAATTTCTGTGTTAATAATGGGTGATGCAATACAATCCACTGGCTGGTTTGCTCTGAGGAAAAATAAAGCAGCTCGGGGTTTTAGGTCAGTATAAGGAAGAGGGGCAAAACAAGGTAAAACACGCCCGTGAAGTATGAAAATAAAAAGTCATTTCCCTAAAATCTGCTCTTTCAGTTGAAGAAGGATGGGTAGGGGAGACTGGCAGCACTCAGTGCTACCCTACCTACAGCTTGGCCCTACAACTGCTCTGAACACACTGGAATGAGCCATTTCCCCCTTGAGACATGTCCAGGGAGGAATTTAAGGCAGAGCCTGGAAAGCAGCGGTTGGCACGGGATGGTGGCTGGAAGATGGTCCTGGGTGAGAAGAACAGCTCCCCCTGAACTGCCTCAATAGTTCTGCCTCCTCCAAGATGTACTCCCTAACATGATTCTACATCACCAAAACCAACATTATGAATTGTATTATTTCTGCTCCCCGGGGAATTACGGGGGTTTTATACCCCAATCATCGTAAAATCCTATCTGCCTCAGCTAGCAGCTGTGCTAGGAAATGAATTTATATTCATCTTCACAAGCCATCCAGGTCTATTATGTGCCTGAATGCAATAGCAGAGAGACACAATTAGGATCTACAACACTGACATTACAATTAAACTTAATATGAGCAAACCCCTGGCAGAGCAGATCGCTGTGAATGTCCCCCAAAGGGATCCAGGACAGCAAATGTCAGGCACTGCAGCACTGCCAGGAGCACTGCTGACAAAAACAGGGACAGCCAGTTCCCATTCAAACACCCAGGAGAAAGAGTAATAACTCTGTAATTGGGCAGGCCTTTGATCACACATAGATTTCCTTTGCAGACAGTTGTTTCCAAATAGCAGCTCATCTCCTGAGCAAAAACACCCGACCAACAAACCCACACACAACAAAAAAATGCCCCAGTAAAAGAAAAGAGGTGAGACAGGCTCATTTTCATCTTTGAAGACTGAGGAAAAAGGTGCCTTATTTTTCCACTAATATCAAATTGACCAGGTTGACCAGAGAATGGCAACAGGCATGAGGCACCTAATTAGAGCCTGATCTGAAAAGGAAAACAAATAAAAGAAATAAAAGCAAGCCCTTTCTCATGACTTCCATGTGGACTGAGCTGTCTTGTCCAGAGAAAACACATTCAGGCCCAATAAATCTCTTTTCAATGAACCATATCCTTTCATGAGATTTGAACATGAAATTCTCTGCTGAAATTGATGTTTTTATATTTGCTGATAGAGCCTCCAAAGATTTAAGAGTCCAGGAATTTTCATCTCGTTCAATCCCACAGAAATCTCTGCTTCCCACAGAACTGTCCAGCCCCAAAGGGAGGGAGCTGTGTGAGCAACACAAACCACCTCTGCAGGGGGGCACCTTATAAACCTTTTATAAACATCAGATGAACAAATTGGGGTAACTCCATATGCACTGGTTGTACAGCCCAAAGAATTTTCCTGTGTGATCACTAAAAATGCAGCACCAAGAATTGAAACTGCATTAGAAATAAAGACAAAAATATCAATTATAATGAGGTTGCATCCACAAAAAGAGGAGCACACCTAATGTTCTGCTCCTTCAGGTTTTGTTGGTACAAGAACTACCTCCATAACTGCAAAAAAGTTACTAATTCTGTTTCTATCTGCATTATCAGCAATGTTAAATCAGGACAGATCACTCAGGCACTGGTAGTTAATTCATATTTCACAGGAAACGCTCCCCCTTCTTCCTTTGACTTGGTAACAGCAGAATTTCAGTGTTCAATAAACTATACTTGATTTTTAGGCTTTTTCTACTTCTAAAACTTTCTAAACTCCTTTTAGAGAAGTTTTGGGAAATTTATACTGCAATATCTTCCCACTAGTGGAATTTAGGTTACAGTGAAGCTTTTTAAACTATAAATTGATCTAAATTTTAGCTGAAATTACAAGGATAGATCTCTCAAAGTCAGATTCATCTCAATCAAGCTTCCTAAGCACCACGGCCCAAACATGACTGAAGTGTTCCCATTAAATTGAGGCTTACTGCAAGCCAATTTAAATTTCCAATGGATGCATTTAGTTAGTCTGCTGTTTGTTTTTAATTTAAATACGAAAATTTGAATCCTTCATCTGCACTGATCTACCTCAATGCTGCAGTATTGCTGCCAAAGGCAACAACATCAGTTAAAAGCGTCCCTGTTCATCCCAAATTGTGCCATGGAGGCCTGGCCCTCTCCCTGCAGTCACTCACTCCTCAACAGTGGTGGAAAAACTGTTCCCACAACTCTGCTGAGAGCCAGAATTAAAAAACGTTTTGGCTAAAAAAAAAAAAATAACCTGAAAAGAAGTATTTCAGCCATTCATTTTGCAGTGCTATGTCATAACCTGGACCACTGGATCTGTTCTTTTGACCACAGGAAGATGTGTAGGCAGAAATTAAAGGGTTAAAACCCAGAGGTGACTTCCATAACAATTTCAATACTATGATGCTTGAGGAAGGAGCCACAAAATCCAAAATAGCTAAACCATCTCAGTAATGCAGCAGGAGAATGTGCTTTAGTGACATCCTAAATCATAATGGAAAATGAGTTTGGGTAATTAAGCTTATTATCTCCTCAGCCAGTAATTGGTGCTTGCAGTAAGTCTACGGGACTAGTCCCACGGCTCACAACAAATCAGGGCTGATACGTTCTGGAAAAGGAACTGGAGACATTTAAATGAGTCCTGTTTAAATGTTTATGGCTATTCCTAATCCCAAATAGTGCCATCTACACCCAGAGCCACAGATAAGATTTTTTTCCCTTCTGTCCTGCTTGTTTCGTTGCTGAACAGAAGCAGCAGCCAAAAAAGGTCCAAGTCACACCTTGCCCTCAGGTGCACAGGAAGGCCCAAAATAACCCCCCCACGGGGAGTGCTGACAGATTCCCACGTTCACACTCAGTTATCATCCACTTCACACCAGCACTGACACCTCTTACACAATCACATCCTGCTTCTCAGCTCGGCGTGGAGCCACCAGAAATGGTTTTTTTCTGGATGCCCTCAGTAAAACCCGCTGCCTGTGCCCCAACATGGAGGTGGCAGGCAGCCTTTAAACAAACATGGAATGCTATTTCCAGGTTACCGAGCAGAGATGGGAATATACAGAGATAAGAGATTGTCATGTGTGACTGATATGCTCCCTTCAAAGTGATTTTTCATGAGAGTAAAATTATTTGGTAACATGTCACTAAACAGGCTGCAATTTATGCTATCAATTTGCAAAGTAAGTAGAAAATCAGCTCCTTGGAAGAAAAAAAAAAGAACATATTTGGAGGCGACACTGATATTAGCGTCTGAAAACACGTTTTAAAAAGAGACATCAAATTCTTTTTTAAGACTTTACCGACTGTTCTGCAAAGCGTTTTGCAGAGCCGGTTTTGCAGCTTTGTGCTCCTGCAGATCCCCACTCTCAGCCGGGCTCCAACCTCCCACCTTCCCGGAGATTCCTGACATCCTCCCTGCTTTTGTGGCGCTGCTATTTGGAGCCGAAGTGCTGCCTGCATCCCGTGCTCCAAAGCCCGAATTCCAGCCTGGAAAAACGCCCCTTACGGCGGGCAATTAGCGGCGACTGAAGGGTGGGACAGCCCAGGGGATCTGTGAGCTCGTGGCAGCCTCCAGGCTACTCCTCCTAAAGAAAGGAATTATGCAAATCCATGGAATGTCACCGTCATTACACACGTCTGTAGATGGCACTTTCTGGGAAAGGCACAACTTGTGGAGCTGAAAGTTGCATTGACATTTTTCATGCTAATGTGCTATTTTGATAATTACCCGTGCCAGTGCCAGAAAATTACATATATGCCAGCACCTGTTTTCTTCTTGAGCATCAAGAGCTAGAGCTCAGGGCATCTGTAATTGGGCTGAATGCAGGTTTGGGTACTGCTCATGGAAATGGAGGCCGAGGGGGGGCTCAGCAAATCTCCTAAGGGAATTATTACCCTTTCTCAATATTAAACACAGCTCTTTATATTGATAGTTTAATTAGCACGCTTGATTATGGGGCAAGAGTGAGTAGACCTGGTTAGCATACAGTTTCCAGAAACATTTGCTATGAAACAGTCTTTGATTCCATCTGATTAAAACAAAATGCTCCTGGTGACAACCAGGAAAAGACTTGCTCTCAATTAGAGCAAAGCCCAGCATTGAGGGGGGACAAACCCCATGGACTCTCACTTGCAGGGTGCAAAAGTGAGCTGTTTTCATTAAGTAACTTATTTTTCACAGCTGTTACGTTATTTTTAAGTAGTTTTAATGCCACTGTGCATATTAATTGCTTATTGCCTTCCCACAAGCTTACTACATTCATTATAATTATCCCTTGCTAGAGCTGAGCCTCACATATGTTTGATGCTATTCCCCTCCTCTGTTTGCTCTGCTTGAAATGTATATTCCTTTTCCAGCTCCTCCCCAGTGTTGTGTTTTTCTGGTCATTTGGTCATTATATTCCTGGTCATTCTAGCTTTGGGGTGAAGATGTGGAGGGGAAGAGGGCTGTTTTCATTTTTCCAGCTTACCTGTTACTCCTCTCCTCACACAAATTTGGAAGAGCCAGAGGTTTGAGCGTACTGGAAAATTCCACCTTCATTTAAGCTGCACAAATTCCTGCCTTTGACTTGACAACTCTGCATTCAGGTCATGGTGCTGTGATTAAATTTGATCAATGGTGTGGGAGTATTTGGAGCTCCCCCAAAAGCTCAAGCAAAACCCCTTCCTTTTCTTACAGCTTGGTTTACACTATCCAAGGAAAGCAGATCAGTAAGGAAGGGACTGTGGGACTCCACGTCCTGCATTGAGTTCAGCACCTGTTAAATATTTACTGTCTGCTCTTTATGGGAGAGAGGGCACATGTTATGGGATGAGCAAAATGTCACTGACTTATTGCTATAATAAACACCTTTTCTTGGTACCTGAGGGCCACCAAAGGCTGACAGTGCTGTAAAATCCTGCCCTCATAAACCAAAATAAGAAAGGAAAGGATTAAGAGGGTGAATTAAGGAAAAGAAGCTCTTAAAACACAGTTATCCTCCCTTCCAAGGTTCTATCCCTCATGAGTGCAACTTCTTGTGAAGAAAGACAATGCACAGGTATCCCCAAAATGCCAGGCTGTGGAAGGACTGTAGGAAAATTTATTTCCAAGGTCAAGAACACTGGACTTCAAGAACATTCACCTTCATGGCTTGTCAAACACGGGGCCTGGGGAAAGACACACCCCCTGTTCTTCTCAGGGCTTTTATCATCCCTGGCCCCCCTCTGTGGGGACCTTCAAACATCTCTGCAAGGACTTACCTTTTTCTCATACCAGGGAAAGTTTCTCTGGAATGCAGGAGGAGAAAACATCCAAAACTGTCTCTAGGACAGATGCCTCTTCCAGGCAGGAAAGTCTCCCTAAGCGAAATAAGCCCTGATCTCATGATAAATCTTTCGGAAGGGTCTTCTGCCCTTACACTCCTCTACTACAAGTGAGTGAAGGTTCCTCTTACCTCATACTCCTCTTTGAAGCCATAGCCCTGTCCCCTCTTCATCTGGGTGATGTGCTGCAGCAGGTCTGCCACTCGGATGGCAGGCTGGAACTGCCCCCGGGGGTAGGACATCTCCACGGGCTCGCAGCTGCGGTACGGGTGGGTCTGGATGGTCAGCGTGGGCTGGGGCATCTCTCCATGGCTGCTGTCTGTTGGAAAGACAGGGAGGCAAAACAAGCTTTCACCACTCTGCTATTTCCAGGCTCATTCTCTGTTTTACCTGTTTCTCCCCCACCCCGTAGGTTGGGGCTGGCGAAAGGAAGCAAAGAAGTAAGTAAGAAACACACACTACATAAGTATATAAATAAGTAAGAAACAGCCTTCAGCTGCCTGGAAACTAAATCACACTGGAGTAACCCCTTGTGTCAAGGACACAAACACAAAGAGATTGGAACACAGTGAACAGCCAGCCAGGCTGCTGAGGACACAGCATAAGGGTGAGCTCCCCAGAACTCCAACAAAATTACATACCTGTCTTCACAAACCTGCAAAGAACACAGCTGAGAGATACACACAGATGAGCAAGAGATTCAAGCAGCATTTGGGGTGTACAGCACGAGATAACTGAAAGGGGCCCAAGTGAACAGCAAACAAATTATTAGCATTTCAAATAAGCCACATGGGACAGCGGAGGTAAATTAAACTGCTCCGCTAGTTCTGGCCTAAAATTTTATATGTCAATTACAAAGATGGAATATCATCAGAAATAATAAAGCAGTGTAAAAATGCAGTTATCCTGCATGCAGAAATTTAAATTTCAGATGTGTAAACTTAATAGGAAAAGGGTGGTTTTTTGGAAGAAATGGATTGAAAGAAATCTATCACTATGCAGATGGAACTGCAACCTCCTATCTCCAGCAAAACTGTGTACCCAACAAGATATTACTGGTGAACTAATAGAAAAGAATTTAAATAATAACTTCAATTACCAAACAACTGACTGTAACAACTTTTAATAACAGGAACTCAGATTAAATGAAAAATTCAGTTTCTTATCTACTAGAGTTGACCAAATTTAAATAGTTGGCCAAATATACCATTGGTTTTTCCTGAGATTACAGGGATCTGAGATGCTCAGGTCCTTCCACATACACAATTCTTTCTGATCTTACCCAAAGCCAAGCTTTAGCAAACAAAAAACCTCCCTCCCTCAGACTGTTGATAAACCCCCCTTAAGCTGGCACACACAGGGCTTGTTCACTGACAGAGAGCTGAAACACCCCCCTCATCAGCAACACTGCAACCCTGTCTTTGAAGGCATAAAGAATAAACAAATCAAATTGCAATTTCAGGGTGGGCTTTGTGAGGCAGAAATATGGTCAGAATGCTACTGTAAACATTGCTTGAGAAAGCACTGTGGGGCTGGATCAGAGGCAGTGAGGGCTCCCTGTGCCCCTCCTGTGAAGGTGGGCAGGAGCAGAGAGGTGAGGGATCCCTCTGTCTCCTTGGCAGCTGGTGAACCAGTGACATGACAAAACATGACAAATAACACCTTAGCTGGTTTACTGTTAGATTAAGGGGAAGATATGAAGACAGGGATATGCTGTGTTTGGAAGCTGGAGGACTATGAGGAGGAGAGAGGAATGCCAGCAGTGGACACTGCTGCTTGATCACCAGTGAGATAAAATCATCTGGTGGGTGAATTATCACATCCCGCTCTTCTGAAATAAATTAGCACACTGATCATCTGCTCTGAAGATGAGACTCCTGAATTTAAGGATTTCTAGGTGCCAGGTTCTCATCAACACAGTCACATTCCCAGGACACTCGGAGATTTACAGGGCTATGGCTCAAGCGAAGCAACCCTCACATACAAAATGTGAATAAATTTGGGATTTAAGGAAGAGTAACATCCAAAGCACTTGTATAATCATCCCTAATGCTCTGACTAATGACAGTGTGAGAACTCCGAGCAGAGGGAATTTCAAGGCCTATTAATTCCCCTTGTTGGATTGGCTTTCCCAATGCATCTTTCCCCCCCTATTCCCTATTAAGCTCCCGTAATGGGAAGGAGAAGATTTTTATCGCGGACCATTTCCGACAGACGTACTATGCTTAATTTTCCATCATTAGGCTTAATACAAACCCAATCTCACAATTGGCTTCTCTCAGGAACCTGCAAGTAATGCCACAATTTTATCAGCCCCAATTAAAAAACATTATGAGATCCCTATTCGAGAGGGAGCCTTAAAACTAATGTGTGGTTCTGGAGCTAATACAGGGAGGGCACAGCAGAGCACAGGCCACCTGTAAAATGCAGCTCAGATCAGCCAACTCCTTTGCAAGCAATTACTGATTTCTCTCTTCATCAGTTCCTTTAATTCTGCTGTACTTGGCTCTCTTCTCAAAGAGATGTATCACAGGGAGACGTGAGAGCCAGGAAAGTGGTGCCCCCTCCCTTCCAGAATAATTTCTCTCAAAGTAGGTGCTCATGTTACAGGTCTGGAACAGGAAGAAGGTGCTCAGAAGCAAAGAGGGGTCTGTCTCTGGCCTTTGAGTCTATAGTGACAACTGGTCTATTTGGTCAGTGAGATAAAAATTGGTACAAACCCCACTGATTGTAGGAACAACTCTTGCAGCATTGTCACAGAGTCACAGAATGGTTTGAGTTGGAAGGGACCTTAAAGATCATCTTGTTCCATCCCCCCTTCTATGGGCAGGGATACCTCCACTAGACCAGGTTGCTCCAAGCCCCATCCTTGGACACTTCCAGGGATGGGGCAGCCACAGTTTCTCTGAACAACCTGTGCCAGGGCCTCCCCACCCTCACAGGGAACACTGTCAAGTGTGGTCCATGGCATCACACCTTTTGTGTGCCCCTCACCCAGCCACATCTTTCTGCTTAAAGAAAAGTATCACACAACCTGGGTCACCTACTCTCAGCCCTGTGACACACAGCTGAAACAAGATCATCACCTCCTCCAGACCTCCATGACAAACACATCCTGAACATCCTCTGTGTTACCTGCAAAAAAACCTGATCCCAACAACTGCACCAGCTCCAGATTGTCTGTTGTTGCCACCAGCATTTTATCTGGGCCAAGGAAAATGTAGAGGTGCTTTTAGGGAGACAAACTGCCACGTAAGAGGCGAGCCTGGAGTTTACACGTTGTGCTACTAAAGCCTGATGCAAGTAACACATTGTTCCTCCTCCACCTCATCAGCCCATGAGTGTGGAGCTCAGTGTGGTTAATGAGCTGCTCAGAAAGGCACAGCACCCTCTCCAAGATGTGCTGTTTACAGCAATCCTGTGAACAATTCACAGTGCAGGTACGAGGGGAGGGAGCAGCAAAGTGATCTCTCACCAGGACAGTCAACCAAGAGAGCCTTTAGAGGGCTGGCAAACGGGCTTTGCTTTTCCTGCAGGTTGCAGCTACGAACCACATCTCATTCCTTTTGGCACAATTATTACTGGAAAAGACAACAATAGATACCAGCAAAGTCAGGCCTGTACTTTAATTGTTGCACTAAAGGCAAGTCGAAGCAATTTTCCACAGTCCCTTTTCTCTGTCAGCTTCTCACAAACATGTCCCCAGTCCCCTGCAGAAGAGGATGACTTTGAGGACAAACTGACCAAGACTTTTCACTAAATTTTTGGCAGTGGCTCTGAAGCACGTGTGCCTTCCACGAGTTTTTGGTCAGAAAAGAAAAGCAAGAAAATAACTTTTTTTTTTGTAGGAAAGTTGCACGAAATAATTCACTCTAATACTCAAAAACTACTAAACATACAGAATTGTGCATCGGGGTTTTCTGGATTATACTTCATATGCACATCTTATTTCTAGTCATATGTCCTCATATTCGTGACAGGAACACACACCATCATATTTCATTGCATACCAAAGATGGGAGTACAGTTCCAAAAAACAATCCAAATTAAAACATCTCAAGATGTGGTGATTCCATTCTGACCCCAAAAGTTGTGGCAATGGTTAATTACCCTCGCTGTCTAAACATTTCCTAATTGCAATTTGATTTTGCTTAGCTTCGATTGCAGGCACTGAATCTTATTATACCTCCTGTTAGATTAAAGAGCCCTCTGAGCATTTGAAATCCTGACCCACGCAGGCACTGATCAAATCACTTCTTCAGATCCTCTTTGATAAAGTAAATCAATTGAGAGCTTCTGAAGTCTCATTAGGGCAGGCTGCTCAGGGTCCTGGTTCTTTCCCAGAACCATTTCCAGTTTTCCACAGTTCTTTTTTGTGCAGCTGTAAATAAGACAGGTGTTCTGCCTGTTGCTGGAAACACACTCGTAATTAGAGAATCATTTCTAATATTAGCAGCTTGTGACAGCAAGGTCTGTTACCCTTGTTTGTTAACCCTTTCTAGTGCAATACTTTTACTCCCCACACTAAGATGCCCTTTGCCAACACAGATGCTGGCACATTCATGATTCCCCATCCCTGGAAGTGTCCAAGGCCAGGCTGGATGGGATTTGGAGCAACCTGGGCTAGTGGAAGGTGTCCCTGCTCATGGCAGGGGGTGGAATGAGATGATCTCTAAGGTTCCTTCCAGCCCAAACCATTCTATGATCAGCCTAAGAGTTCACAGAACACCCTGAATTTTTGCAGAAGACATTAAATTAATGATTCACTGGCTCTCATATAACTAGTCTGATTGGGAGACATTTCAGGCATCTCAGCTTGCGTGTTTAGTGTGTAAGTGCAGAGGATCAAATTTAACAACGTTGACTTCACATATTTGTAAACTCTCCCTGCTTATGAAATGGTGCTTTTTGTGGCTCTCTTTGCTGGAGAAAATAATCATGAACTTGTTGAACTCAATTCTGAGGTCTTCTTTTGCCAAAAGAAACAGAACAGAGCCCAGCACGCAGAGGGGAGCTGGAGCAGAGGCCAGTGAGGTGGAATCTTCCCCCATTTGATGAGTAACCCTGAGGGTGAGATACTATTGCCTGCCTATTGCTGCTACACCATCTTGTATTATATACTTTTGTGCTACCCAGACAAGGGAAATAAATATGTTTCCCTCCACAGAAAAACTGATCAACTTCTCCACAGATGTCACAGATAAAGATGAAGAGCAGCTGAGGAATTAGATTCCCAGTCTCAAAGTGACTCTGTACGATCAGTGCAACATCCCAGTAAGGCTGCTGGGAGGGGACCTGCTCCTCCAGGCACCTTTGGGGATTAAAGCTTTAGATGCTTTTATAGATATCATCTTGTTTTGTAAACACAGTTAGAGAAATGGATATCTGGACACACAGTATGATGTTGCCTCCTGACCAGAAAACCAACTTAAGCCTCAGACAACTAAAAGCAAAGCTGAACTAACGTGTCATCTTCTATACATGAAGTTTCTTTCAAAACTTTTGCTTTAATAACCACAAATTCCTTCTGTGTCTGAAACGACAGGCCTATCATCTCTGCTTATATTTTTATTCTCTTAGCCTTGGCAAGTGATAAGATGTGGTAAGACATCCTTTGCACAAAATAAATTATGTTTTGAGTGGTGTTTGTGATGGATTTAATTACACACAGAGCCAGTCTCTCTACACCAGAGTAAGGGCTGTCATCTTGACATCTCCTGAGGATGACTCCAGCATGGCTGATACCTCCTGCCCTTACACCAGGGATATGGTGCAAGCTGGAAAAAATAATTTGCTTTTTTGTGTGCATCAAGGCTTTGTTATATGATAAATATCCAGCTATAATGTACTATCTACAACACCAACAGTGCTATGGCAAAGCAGAGTCAAAACATCCCTTATCAAATGATATCAACTGAGCTATGAAAAGCCTTAACAAAAAGCCTTCTGATAGCAGGCTTGACAGAGAACAGAAGATACACCTTCCATTTCAAAGGCTGTGAAGAAGCCACATATCCATAATTTTTTTAAAAAAGTAAGTAATTTTCTCCAGGTTCTAGAGATTTTTAAGACTTGCTTGGTTAACACCTTATGCAAGAGCATTCTAATAGTATAAAAACCATTCCACACATTTTCTTCATCAGTTAGCTTAGAAAAAAAATCCTGTTAAAGGCACAAAGTTCCTTTGGTGAGGTGGGCAAAGATTTGGGGACAAGTGTAACTGCAGCTCTTCAGCTGTGTGGACCTTGCCAAGTCAAATCTCTCTTTGCCTCCTCGGCGAGGAGAAGGTGCCAGACCTACCCACCTCTCAGAGCAATTCATTAGTTACAGCTGAAAAACCACTGGCAGCTTCAAAACACCACAGGAAACTAGAAGCCATTAATGGCTGGAAAAGAGAGTTTTCCAAGCCACCTGATCTTCTGCAGGCAGACAGAAATGTAAGAGAAGTTCAGCTCAAGGATCCCTACAAGGGTCTGCCCCTCCATTGCTCCCTTCTGCTGCCAACCTGAGCACAGGGAAATGATGGGAAAGCCTCTCCCACAGCTCCTTGTCAGGGGCTGCCATGGCCTGGGAGGCTGCAGATACAACTGAACAGGTCAAGCTGTTGATTTTTGAGCTTCCATTGCATAAAAATAACTCATCCCACAATTAAAAGAACCAGTAATGCTGTTAGAGCAGCGATATTGGCTTCTGAACATCTCTGAGTCCTTCAAACCAGGTTGTGGATACACTCACAGCAGACTGGTTAAGAATGGGCAAAGCCCATCCAAGCTACATAAGAGTGAAATCCGGGGAAAATTTCTCTGTCTTTCTAAGCCCAAGCCAGCTTCATTACAAGGAGCTCTCCCTGCTTGTTCTGCCCATCTGCAAGCAGCTACAAGGCACTGCAGTCCCCATCCTCTCTGGAGGGCAGCAGCTCCTGTTGTGAGGATCCTGAAATGAGAAAAAGGCTGAATGTCCTCACATACTGCTGGGAGATGACAGTGGATGCAAGGGAAAGACATGCTGGTTCCCTGGGAGAGACTGCACTGATCAGATCTCCTGAACATCCTCAAGAGGTCCTGGTCATGAACATTTTCTCTCAAAAACAACCTCTCAGCTTGTGCTCCCTCCTCTTCAGGTGAATATCCACCTCTTTTATTTCTCAGTGTCAGATATTCAGTTCTCTAGTGAAGGTCTTTGTGAGAAACATTTAAAATCCAGAGTTGTCCAGGACTGGAAGAGAAAATGACCTCACTAAAAACATGCATTACATAAGAAAGGATTAATCAAGCATGGGATAGGGTAGAGGCAAAACCAAAATCCCCTGGATCTTACTATCAACAAATCTTGTCCCAGTCAAGCCTAGGGAGTCATCTACTACTGCAGATACAGAACATTTATTAGCAGAATGTACAACAGCTGGGAACAAACAGTGCTGAACTGCAGGCAGAGCCCAGAGATGGATATTGGTAGTGGGATGACTGATGTCCCTTTTAAGATATCTTTCTCTGTCCTGGGAATGAATATTAAGGAACATCAAAAATTAAACTTATTTTGCTCATACAGCAACATCCAAGGTCTGATGAATCTTTCTGAGAAGCCAGAACACCAAGGTTTTAATTTGTCTTCGAGTCACAAGACAGAAATTTCTCCAGTGCCAAGGAACGTTTCACAGCCTGTTAAATTCAGGTGGAACTGGGGCGGTGACCAGTCAGTGTAATTCAGGTCTTAAAAGTGCTCTAAACTTCACATCCCATGTGTAAAGCAGGGAAATCAATTCTTACTCAGATATAGTGGTTAGTAAAAGTTTAAAAGAGTTTTGAATACCTAAGTGAAATTCCTATTTTCTCTTTTTCCTCTCTAAAATGTGGGGGTTTAAAAGTTTTCGGGGTGTTTTTGGCTTTTGCTTTGCCATAAGAAATACAGACTGAACCTGTTCATTGCTCCTTGAGCTTCAGGAGATAAAATGTGCAGTTCACACCATAATTCTGTCATGACAGAGAGGGAAAACAGCTCCCCCAAACGATGATCAGGTTTTCCCAGATGCTGAGTGCAAGGCAGAGAAGTTTCACCTCTTCCAGCAAACTGCAGGTCAGGGCCCTGTTTCTGAGGCACAGCCAAGAGAGAAACCTGGCTTTGGACTTTTTTATTGAGTCTCTGGGAAATGAGAACAAAACCTTCTGGAAAATGGACTCCTTTCCCTGCCCACCTCATTCCAAGAGGCCTCATCCATTGCTGTCAGCTTTTGACAGACAACGGGATGAATGTGTGTGTTGTGGCAGCCCCTCCAAGCCTCTGTGCCCAGGCTGTCAGTCTGGAAGCCAAAGAACAGCCACTGGTTGTAATTCCATCCTGGTCTAGGATGGCCCTTCAGCGTGTTCTGAGTGATGTTCAAGGCGGTCACTGCACATTACTGGGTCTGGGAGGGAGCATTTACTGCAGATAATCCAAAATGACAGGTCTGATAAACACCACTGGTGAGATTCTGATCAACCACAAATCATCTTTCTGCTTCATAGCAGAGGAACTCATAAATCAGAGAATCAGAATGGTTTGGGATAGGAGGGAACCTAAAGACCATCTAAGTTCCAATCCCCTTCCACTATCCCAGGTTGCTCCAAGCCCTGTCCAACCTGGCCTTGGACACTTCCAGGGATCCAGGGGCAGCCACAGCTTCTCTGGGCAACCTGTGCCAGGGCCTCCCCACCCTCACAGGGAACAATTTCTTTTTTAATGTCCAATCTAAACCTGCTCTCTTTCAGTTTAAAGCCATTCCCCCTTGTCCTGTGACTCCAGGCACGCCCTTGTCACAAGTCCCTCTCCAGCTCTCTTGGAACCCCTTTAGGTGCTGGAAGGGGCTTTAAGGTCTCCCTGAAGCCTTCTCTGAACACCCCCAGCTCTTCCAGCCTGTCTCCATGAAAAAGACCCCTTCCAAACCAAACAGTTCTGTGATTCTGTGCTGGCTGCACAGGCACAACCATCTCCATGAGTCAAAACTAAGCTGATGGCAAGGCTGTGTGTGGGGAAATTTGGCCCAGAACCCAAACCTCATTCACAAAAAGAAACACCAAATACTTGTTAGAACTCCTAAATCTTAATTTTTGAACTGTTCTTTCCTTTAAAAAAAAAACAAACACTCAATTAATATCAATAATTAAACAGGAATGAAACAAAAGCTTTCCAATTAACACACGACCCCAGGACTAATCGTGATTTTGGAACCCAAACACTTAGCAGTGCTGTCTCTCCAAGTTATTTTCAGGATACAATGAGTGTGTTTGCTCTCCAGTGCCATACACCATACCTGTCTTCTTACCTAACAGCGTGGTCGATGGGACAGTGTCTGATGATACTTTTGGGATGGAATTCCGGTCACCCACACGACACGGATCAATGGAAACCAACAGAAGATCAACGGGAAAAAAAGTTACAGAAAACGAAAACAAGGTTAGCTGTGTGTCACACTCAGAAGCCTCAGTCTTATAGGTCATATTGGGAAACATAAAAAAAGCAAAGGAAATTTAGAAACGAAAGAAAAGTCTGGCACTAGTACCTGAGTAGTAGGAATTCAACATAGATTTGCTCTGAAGGGTTTTGCTTTGGACAGAAAATGAACAAGGAGAGGGTGATGCTAGGTAGGAAAGACATAAGGAAAAGACTTTAGACATATATTAAGAGAGAGAAAGAGAACAGGGAGAATGTTCCTCAAAGAACACAGTAATATGGGATATATAAGGCTTATCAAAATGAATTATATTTTTCATCTCGACATGCATATTACATTTATTACATTGTCATCATGATGGATTTTCTTTAATATAAGCACTCCACACCCCAAATATAGTATTATAGTTACTGTAAATCAATATGTTCCTACAAGGGATACACATACAGCTACATTCACAGGTCTCTAGTCTAAATATCAATTTTTTTAACCAAAGAAGCAAGCTTATGGTTTTATCTCTAGGAGAAATATTCTTAAAAATGACCCCCAAAATACAAACTGCAGAAAGTCAGTATTAACAGTAAAATAAACCACAAAAATACACAGGCAGGGGAGCAATTTTTTGGTTAAAACAGCACAAGATTAAAAGGGACTTGTTCTTTGAGCCAAGGCTGTTCACAGCAAACCCTATAATCCTTTCCCCTGTGAGTTGGGTTCTTTCAGCAGGACAAGCATCCCTGCCTTTTCCCATTAAAGCAACAGATTTCTCAGGACAAGAATCCACAAATTTCCATATTAATAAAATCAAGTACTTCCATATTAATCAAACAATTTTGGAAAGGCTCAACATCTTCACAATAGATTCTTGTGTTGATAGTAAATTTATGAGGTTGGTTTATACCTACAATAGCAAACATGTACATTCTTATGGTAATCCATCATTTTTGAAGGCATATCCTTTTGTTATCACTCTGCATTCACTCTTGGAGTTACAGGCATTTATTTATCTCCTCCTCAGAATGTTGGGAAACAAGCTAATACAAATCTCAGTACATCAGAAAGATGACAGCAGATAACACAGGAAAAACTATTCCACAGCCCAGTGGAAGTAGATAAAACTCAGTGTACATCAAAGTAATTTCAGAAGCAATTTTTGTATCTCTAGAGCAAACACCGCTTAAAAACTTTGAGTTATTCTATGGGGAAAACCAAAGAAGTCACTGGTCTAGGGAGTTCCATAAAGTCAGCAGAATTACCTCCTGAGCAGTTTAGAATCATCTAGTAAATGAACTTGCTCTCACTCTGAGTTCTCCCAGCATATTTTCAGACTTGCACCACTTGAAAACACATTAAAACAATCGAATTTTTCATAGTTTAGTCTGCTGGAGCTCTGCCCCAGCTGCCCAGAGTCAGAAAGCTTCTCTCCTCTGGGGCCTCTTGCTCTGTGTTTGTCAGCCTAAATCAGACCCTTCTCTTACCACACTCACAACTTGGTCACTTTGGCAGATACATAAAATAAGATCTAAACAGAGGAATTGGTTTGCCCAGCACCACAGAGCAAGTCAGTGCTCAGGGCTTGGAGCAGGACCGAAGGTTTTCTGGAATTTGGGAGTGTAAAGAACTCACAGGGCCTTATTGCCTCTCCAGAACTGCTAAGGATAAATTACTGAGGCAGCTGAAGATAAACCCCTCCCTTCAGTGAGTTTGATTAAAAATGTTACCAAGTGAGGTTTATGAAATGAACAAAAAACCCAAAAACAAGCAAACAAACCCTAAAACAAACAAATACATACACACCCCAAAAAAACCCAAACCACAAAGAAAACAAAACAACAACATCAACAAAGTTTCCCAATACTTTGGAGAACTTCTTCCCCAAATCAGTCAGGTGGTGGCTTGTATAATGAAATGTGTACACAGTGCTGCTTCCTAACCAGAGGTTCTTACAAGCACTCAGCTCTGTAATCAAAGGGAACACGTCCAGAGAGGATTTCATATCGGGGTAGAGATTAAGACTTCATTAAAAATTCTCTTTGTATTCCCTGGAGTGGCACGTGAGGCCACATGACAGATCCCTCTAGTCATGCAGAGTGGTGGAGGCTTCTTCCTAGTCTGAAAATTATTCTTCTTTCATTTTTATAAGATTTCTTTTGTGCTAGAAACCCCCACAAAAATCCCAGCCAAACCAGTAAAAGGGAATTTAGTATATTTTCCTTTTATGCCTTTGATGAAATGTGGGTTTATTTTTTATTTTTAATAATTTTTGTACTAAAGAAAACACCTCATATTCATGACACTACAAGTCCTTGGACTGCACTTAGCAGGTGACCAGATTATGAGTGAAAATTGTCTATGGGGTAGGAGTAAGAACCAGATCTTGCTGTATTTGTCTTTTGTGAGTCAGAGTAAACCTAAAGACCTTTGCGTGTCACTCATCACAAAAACACTCAGGATATGGAAAGGTGTGAGTTTATATGTTTCTTGGTTCAAAGGGATCCTTAACATCCTGAGTGCCACTTGCCTACATCTTCCTCTCATCTTGTTCTCCTAAATAAAAGCAGAGTAACTTGGTAACTGTGTAGTAGTGTCTACTACTGCAAAACTCAGCTCCCCCACTTCCAAAATGCTGGAACACTAAAGCCACAGACCTCATCTCTATCAGTCTCACCCCTGAAGGGTGGCTGGAAAGGGGTCTCCTCCCAAAGTGAGATGTTACAGAAGCTAAGCACACCTTCATAAGGCAGTTTCTAGCAAAACTGGCTGCATTTTAAGGCATGAAATCCTCAGAATCAAACAGTTCCTGCCAGAACCCCTGCCAGGATGTCAGGATGGCTCTGCTGGGGACATGGAATTCTCCTGGCCAAGCCTGGTCCGTGGCATTTTAGCACAGCACAGCCAGAAGAGCAGAACACATCAGCAGTGCATCACTGCTGAGCTCCTGTACTGCTGCTTCTCCCATCCCTGCCAAACTGCACGGGATTTCTGGGGGGTGACACCCCCCTGCACACCCTCCTGGGCACTGCAGATCTGGGGGACAATTTAGGCCCATCTTGCCTCCAGTTTGCCATCCTGGTGCATAATAACCCTGCACAGACCAGCGTCTACGTGTGACTGTGCTGCTTTCCAGATGTTCCTGCACACCAAAGAGCACACTCCAACACCCAAAGACCTTCATCTACCTCCAAGGGATTTAGGATGTATTTTTATTTTTTAAAAAGCATGATACTGGAGGAAACGAACAACTACAATGAGCCTGCTTCACCTCCACATAATCCCTGAGTAAAACCAGACAAGCTGGAACAGCCATGGAATAATTTATGTTGCAGCAAACACCTTCTCTGATTCCATATGGTGTCAGAGACAGAGGTTGAGTCCAAAAAAATCTCTTTAATTTAGACCCCTGTATGCACGAATAAGAATCCTGCCTGGATAACAACTAACACTGCAGAATGGAAGGAGGGATGAGGGGCTTTGCTTCAGGCCAGGAAAGATAAATGCCCAATTTTCTACCACTTTCAGCAAGACCTGAGGTCTTGATGCCTCCTCAGAGAAGGAGGGGCTGAGAAGCAGAAGGGCAGCTGTTCATTTTTGATCTCATTCATGATGGAGAGCACCAGGCAGCACCTCTGAGAGCTGCTGGAGGTGACAGGGCAGTGTGACAGGGAAGCTACAGCAGGAGGGTGGGCAGGGCTCACCCAGGGAGAGCTAAAGTCCCCCTGCCATGGGAGCAGAGCCCTGGCCAAGCTGGAGGGACCACGGGAACAGAAAAGCTTCTACAGGGACTCACTGAATTTCTTCTGCCTGCAAAATTATCAAAATTATTGTGACAGAAAGCAAAAACTGGAGGGAAGGGTACAAGCCCTGCAAGGACATGTATTCTGGAGATAAACCTGTCTGCAAGTCACTCAATAACTGTGAGGGATCCTACTTAGCAAGTTGGCATGTTCTATTTAATTGCTTTTGTGAGCTCCCAAGGTGATCCTGGGACTGAGAACACTTTGCTTCTCTTGGTGGACTTTTCTTCAAGAAGGAGGGGGGTATTTCCATGTCACTGCTGCAGCCAAGTCAGGCTCCCAGAGCTGAGGGGCAGCATGGAGAGGGTGACTCCCCATCAGGAGATACCTGCAAATTCTATTTACCATTGGGGGCAAAGAGACAATTTCAGAAGGACTTTGACTGCTGCTTAAGACAGTTGATTTCACCAGCTAGGATGGATAACCCCCAGTAAAACTCTATTAGTTAGCAGGAAGGTTAAGAATTAATCTTATTATGTTATTCCAAAGCAGGCCTGCATAGAAACCCTCAAGTATTAAACTTTATTATGCAATTTTATATTTTTTTAAGGAAGGTTTTTACCCATAAAATTCCTGTATCAGCACGTGCACACTACTGCACAGAACTTACCTCCAACACCTCAGCATCCTGGACTTGGCAGTCAAAAATTTGGAGAAATCATGAAGGTTCATTAATAATTCTTTCTCATGGACATAAAGAGGGAAAAATCCAAAAAGAGTCAACCCATGATTGACTCAGGCTGTGTTATAGGGGGAGACTGGTAAAATCTGCAGTGATGTCAGACAAGCAAAGGTCTAACTGATTTAAAGAAGAGAAACCTGGAGGGATGCTTTCTCACCAAATTTGATACAGCATATATTCTATAGTTGCCATTTCAAGTAAATGACTCAGCTGTTTTAATTAGTCTGTCAAAATACCAAGGGAAAGAAATGAGGTCATATTTTAAGCTTGTCTCTGGTTGGAAAAAGAACCCCCAGACTTTCAAAAACCCAGATTCTGAAGGAAGTGTTAAACACTTCATTTTCCCCAGACATTTCAGCCAAGCTGCCCTGGCTGCTCCGGGGTGGCTGCTCCAGCAGTGTCTGCTGCTCTCCTGCCTCTCAAAGATATGAACCCCAGACAACTCCTGCTGCCTCCTCAGGAGATAGAGCTGCTCAGAGCCTGAGAAAATTAGATCTTGACTGAAGTCAATTTAATATCAGAGGAAAGTGTTCACTGCTGGCCCTGACGGTCCCAAACACCTATTTATCCATCTCAGAGTGTGCTACCCAGAGTGGCAGCACCAACATGTGCAGATGGAATTTGACATGACCTACAGATAGAGGGAAAGGAAGAATTCACTCAGCCTGTCCCACTCAATCTGAGATTACAAGAAATCAGTGGCAGTGATAAAACACATTTTGTACCATGAGCACATCCATGTTAGTAATTAGGGGGAAAAAACAGTTCACTAAAGACAAGAGTTTTAGTACACACTTGAGTTTCAGAGCTGTTCCCTGTCCAAACTAGCAGGCTCAGTGTCAAAAGAAGGAGTGACATGCCCAGAGTGTCTAAGTTTATATTTATTTAATACGAAAAAAAGTTTACAAATCCACCATGCAATCCACCATGCACTCAGCCTGCATCTAGAGAGGTTAAAGGATGACTTTGTGCTGCTTTACCCACAAAACTCTTTGAGCTACAGAGGTCTGAGTGGTTTACAAGTGTTAACTAAGATCAGTTTTACTGAACCTGGGTGAAGAATAAAGCGAGGACACAGACAAAAAGAAGAAATGCTGTCTTTCCATTCCAGTTCTCTAGCCAGGAGACCATGCCTTCTTTCATAACCATTTCATACACAAAATGTTATTTCATCCTACAAGTCAGCTAAGTGATTTGATTTGACTCTCCTACTCACAAAGGAAAAGATATTTCTAAGGAACAAATAAACATGTGCCTCTTTGACTGTCTGATGGAGTTATTAGAACAGACTATGAATTATTCTCAGTAGATTTAGAGCCAGCAGGAATGTTCTCCACCTGTCTAACAGTTAAAACAGGGGCAGTGCCAGAGACATTCCAGATTTCTATGGAGATTTTGCAATGATCTCTATCACTGCCATTCCTAACTCCTCAACATTGTGCCCATAGGAAGAGGTCCTTTTAGGAACCCAGAGCTCTCCAAGGGGGTCATATCCATTGCAAGCAAGTTAAACTTACTGAATCCATTAACATCTTGGCAGCTGGAAGAAAAAGCATCTTCATTGTGCACAGCACTGAGTTTGGTGGAGGTCTTGTCAGAAGTAGCCACGGGACCCATCTCCCTCTGTGTGCTGGTCTGAGTCTCCTTCTGCTTCTTGGCCAGCTTCCTTTGGGGCAGTTTGGAGAGGGGAGAAACCAAGGTCAGTTTTCCCTCATTAAAAACGAAGCAATGACAAAATATTTTGACAAACCACAGTTACCCCACTCGGTCAGACATGCAGGGCGTTTGACAAACTGCACAAGAGCAGAGCCCACAACTTCTGAATGTAACTGTTGTGGAGCACAGCAAACATCTTTGAGCTCAGCTGACCCTCCCAGTCACTTCTGTTGCACAAACCTGCATCACCCCAGCAGTGGGAGTGCTACCTCATCCTTGGAGAGGGTGGCATAGGCACAGCCCCTGGAGGGGGTGGAAACCACTCCAGGAAGAGCAGAGGGCTCGGGATGGGAGCAGTGATCAGCACCACTCACTTGGAGGTGATGGGACATCTGCATCCATCCCATGGGGTGTCTGCACCAGGGGTTTTCTTGGAGTGCTCCAGGGGACCTGTCTCTGTGTGACCTGAGAGCTGGAGCAGAGTTTTGTCCTGTCCCCATCACAGCAATGAGGGCAGCAGCCTCCTAAATTCTGATACACGCCCAAACTGCACTGAGGATCCACAGCCAGTGAGGGGTGGGGCAAATTAAAGGCTGAAACTGTTTTAGAAATGTCCACATATGCCTGTGCTCCAGGAAAAAAAGGTATTTTCTTATTTTGAGGAGACAGCAAAAACTTTGGCCAAAGCAGAAACGCTGCCTGCTCTGAAAACACTCCCAGAGCTGAGAGCATAAGAGGCTCCTCTTTTGCAAACACAGCTAATAATAAGAAAATGGAGAGAAGCAGGAAAAGTGAGCTGCTAAGCTTCCACTGACATTTGACTGCCCTGTGCTTCACTTGTATCAGAGAGCAAAACCCTTTAAAAATGAATGTGTGACATTCTACAATCCACACCTTGAAAAAATATCACACAAATCCCTGGCGCCAGCAAAGAACTTTGCTTACACAACTTCCCTAGATAAGAAAATAAAACAAAATAAAAGGGAGAAAAACAGATTACTGTAAGCAGGAGCTTTAGATTTCTCTCTTTCCTCCGACTCAAAGAAGAAAAAAAAAAATCCTAACGACTAAATCATTGTGCAAAGAGGTTTTTCTTCTCTAAGACTACAGGCTTATGGTAAGTGCTACCTGTCTTTTAAACTGCATTAGATTCTTAAAAAAGATACTCCTTGCAGCATAGTCTAACGGGCTTTATTTATCCACAGAACATGTCAGAGTGGCATTTCCAAGCAAGTTCAAGCACACAGCTGAGCCCCAGCCTTCAGGAGATGGGCAGCTTGGCCAGTCACACTCATTTGCAACGAAGGGTCAAAGACAGCTAAAACCTTTGCCTGTGTCTGTGGGAAAAGGACTTTTTTAAAGCAAGTGGATAATCCAGATCAGGAGAGCACAGATTTATGGAGAAAACTCGAATGTTTGCTGCAAACTTTAGAACAAACACATGTTTCATCTTGTTCCTCCAGCTGGGGTTCAGCCTTTTACAATTAGTGGTTCCAATCCAAACCCAGAGCTGTTCAAATTGGGTACAAAACCACAGGGGGCACATTTAGATCTCCCCACACCCCCATGGTGCACCCACTCCTGCAGATGAAGATACAAAGGGGAACAGTCCTTGAGTGATGAAGCAAAAAGCTGGTGTTTAATGATGTTAAAAGCTTTGCTTCCAGTGTTGGGCAATGTTAGCACAGAGCTGCAGACGTGGGAGCCCGTATTTTTTGTGCTGTGGTACCTGTGGTAACTACAATAGTCTTGAAGTGTATTAACTCTACTATGTGGTTCCATAATCCTTCAAATTTGCTAATAGCACATGCCTGTGTGAATTCTTTTGGCAACAGGAATTAAAATCTCTCAGTGGGAAACACTAATCCAAAATGCAGAAGTCTTTAATAACAAGCACTCTGGACTGCTGGGGTGAGCCCCTACAGACGACCACTGCTGAGGTTTAAAAATGGTGAGTCAAGAAGGGCGACTTCCTTTTTAAATCCAAATGCAATTATTTGTGGCAATTATTATCTGTAAGTCCCCACGGCCTGGTATTTTTTTCAGAAATGCCAACAGGCTACAAAGAGCTGGAATTGGCAAACTTGTTTTCTCTTTGAGCAACAACATTTCTGCATGTCCTAGGCAGGAAAAGAAAGTAACCCCAAACCCAAGCCCATTAGTCCCCAAAGGCCTGCTTACAACAGCCCTATGCAAAGGAGTTCTACCTGGTCCTGTAGAAGACAGAGAGGCCCCTAAAACATTGGCTTGAATGCCTAAAAAGAAAAGGTGACATGAGTTTAAAGGTCCCAACCTAACTCGCACACACAAACCGGCCGCCCCTGCGCAGGAGCTCACAGGGGGACCAGGGAACACAAAACGCTTCTGCACCTGAAAAATGCTACCATTTTCTTTATCACTTTCCACCTTTCTCCCTCTCTCTTCCAAGAACGTAAAACTTCTCCATCTAAATTTAGAGGGAAAAGGAAGACAGATCTCTTTTGAGGATTTCAGAGCTAAGCTCGCCAGACACATCAAGGGGCTCTCGGTTTCTGAACGTGCCTTTTCTGCCGCCGTTCCGTGTCTGGAGAGAGTGGCAGCACAGGACTAAGCCTATTTGGTCCTTGCCATCATTATAATTCATAGAAAGGATTATAAAATCAAATGACTAGCACTTTCCAGAATGTTAAGGATGTGACTTAAACCCGCAGCTAGGTAGAGGTTTATTTCCCAGCGTGTCAAAAATGCCTCAGGAATTGGGAAAGCATTCATCTAGAAATGCTGCTTCCAAAAATAGAGATCTCTGCGGATCACTGACAAGCCACATCAGTGACAGGGCTCCTGCTCTCCCCACTGACCAGCCTCCCCTGAACACAGCCCTGCAACACCCCGACGAAGCTGCTCTGGGAGCATTAGTGTCAATCACGGGTGCCCAGAGTGTGCCCAGCACAGCCTGACACCAGGCACGGAGCAGACACCTCCCCACTCATGCATTATGCAGCTGAAAAGGGGAGGAAATAAAGGCCCAGGCAGATGTTGGGAAGAAGAGTGCTACAATCAACACAGGGTGAAGAGACTGAAATGTCAGCACGGGAATAAGGTGATATTAATGGCCGGGTTACATTTAAGGGTAATGTGTGAAGAAGAAAACAGGAGTCCGTGGATGGAGTTTAGTGGGTTGCCCCTTGCAGGGCTTGTAAATGAAGAGATGGTGTTTAGAAGCACTACACACACACAGGAGGGATGAGACAGAAAGACGCTCGACATTGAATAAAAAAAATGAAATCAGCTGTATCATCAGGCAGTTGATGGTGACCCCACTAAAGCAAGGATAAAACTACTGGCAGTGAACCTCAACTGAGTGTGGGTTTTGGAAAAAAAAAGATGGAGATTTGATTCAGTTATTTTTGAAACTTCTACTCCTATCAGAAACTAGACGTAAAATCTGAAGCACTACATTAAAATTGCCAGAGTTCCACTTAAACACTCCAGGAATGCAAACCTGGTATTGAGCACAAACCATTTAATGCCACGGGCATTAATCAGAGAGCTCAAGTAATATTTTCTGTTGGAAGTATCTGCAGGATCAGATCCCTGTTTTGCGGAGGTTTGGATAAGCATCCGGGATTATTTTTTAAAAACAGCTTCAAACTCTTCTTTAACTTTTTCTATCAATTCTACATGAATGTTAAAGCTGTAACTGCCACTCCTCCAGAACTCTCATACGTTTACGTTGACAGATTTAATTTTAGATGTTTCCCAGGGATGGGTTATATACACTGTAATGTAGATTTGCATGCACAGGTAATTTAGACATTAGGTATAGATCACCTAAGTTAAACGTGAAATTTCCTCCCACAGACACGAATTGCACATTGCCCTCGTTTTCAATAAGCAGTTTCAAAAAGCCACAAAATAAAACTCCTTTTGCAGAACTGTGCATAGTAAACTGCTGGGAGCACACACATTATTTATGATGAAATCTGCAGCAATTTAAGGCAGGCTGTGATGAGCCATACAAATAAAAGGGAGCACTGGTTAAACAGAAGATCTACTGAACAGGATCTCCATCCCCTAAACCTGTGGTAGATCACAAAATCAGTTTAGAAGAACAGTTTCATGCTGGTGTGAAAAATAAGGGAGGGATTATACATGGCACTACAATCTGCAAGGTCTGGGTGATCCTTTTGGTGTGACTGAGGATCAGAGAAGACTCTGCTGTAACACTGCACTTCAAATAAGACACGTGCCAAAGGGACACACACAGAGAAGGACAAGGAAGGTAAAGCTGGAAAACATGATCTACAAGGAAAGGCCAAAGGAAATATGGATCTTTAATCTAGAGAAAAGGAAATCAAATAGGGTCGAGAGGTCTTCAAACATATGAAAAGACATCACAGGGGAGCTGCTCTCACTGTCTGCAAGGGCAAGGGAGTAAGTAATAGGGCTCAGCTATGGGAAGGGCAGTTCATTTGAAACTTGGGGACAACTCCATGCAGGAAAAGCTGCCTGTCTCTCAAACTGACAGGGTAGACAGGCTGTGAAGTTTTGGTCACTAAAGATCTGTAAACAGAGCAAGTGGAACGGGAGTTCAGAGCCTTCCATCGCTCCGATGCTTGGGGAATCTCCTCCGTGCTCTGATGGTCCTCCTTCAGTCTGCACCTCCTCACTGCTCCCCCTGCACTGACTGCAGCCTCAGCAGGGCTGAGGAGCATTCCTGGCCTCAGGAAGGTTATGGCAGGAACACAGGGAGTACAGGTGGAGTGAAGAGCAAGGAGCATTGTTACTTACAGAGCAAACATCACTTGACAGGAGAAAGTGAAGTAATGCAGAGGGAAGTCAAAATATGCTCTGAGTATTTCGTACTGAGTGCACACAAACAGAGGGTCTTGAGAAATATGATCCAAGCTTCACTTGATCAAATTTTTAACCACTTTTTGTGGGGACATTTACTTACAACCCTACAAACTTTACACAGGTCAGAGCCATCCAATATATATAAGCCTGTGTTGGTACTGACAGCCACAAACTCTGCCCCCTCCAAAGTTTAGGCTTGCAATCACCACACAGACATGTTCTAAATAATATCTCACCTACTTTCTGCATTTTCATTTTTTTTTTTTAATTTGCCTTTATTAGACTGGCATAGCCACTGATTAACAACTCTGTTTTTCCAGCATTTAATGAGAAAAGCATCTTACAGGAATGTTTCTTCTTAAAATCCTGATTTAGCAAGCTGACCTGTGCAGGCAGATCCCACCATCCATGGAAATATATGGAGATATTTCTGTATTAATGTGGTTATACAGAGGTATGCCTATAAATAAAATAATGAGATTTTTTTTTCTTTTCAAATGTCCCACAGACAGTGGAAATAAATTCAGCACAAACCCTGTTATTTAAAAAAAAAAAAAAAAGTAAGTATAAATTTAGCTTAATAACCTTTGACAATTCCTCCCAGCTGAAATCATCCAACAATTAAAACTGGTAAGAAATTGCAATGGGAGTTGAAGGGGCTTCCTATGTTGTAATAATGTCCAAGGAGTTCTGGCCAGTTCAGGGGAAAAGTAAAACATCATCTTGGCCATTGAGTGCCCTTCTCTTATAAATAACATTAAACTGAGTGCTTGTAACACACACATGAATCTCTATATTTCCAGAAACACTTCCCTGGTCTGATATCTCTCCTGATTAAATTTCATTCTGCAGCCATTACCGAGCCCAGGAGAAAGAAACAAAGCAAAACAAACAACCCACACAGAGAAAACATTTCCATTCCTTTTCCTGGTGAGGAAACAATAAAGTCATGATACGAGTTGCTGCAGTTGAAAATACTGTTGCAAACGAGGTGCCTGTCATTAAAGGCAAACCCTCCTGTAAAATGGATGAATTGCTGCCTGTGTTTTACAGCTTCAGCCAGGAAAAAAAAAACAAAAGCTTTCAGACGTGGATGGGTTGAGATCCTGCACTGCCCATTAAATTTAAGTGCAAAGAGACAGCCAGCAATTCTGTACCAACCTTAGACACCATTTGTATTGGTGTAAATACAGAGTAACTCCTCTGAAAAGGCTCAGGCATCACCCTGGGGACAGGGATGAAAGGAGTGCACCAGGACAGGAACTCCCAATTCCACAGCTCCCTTTTCCCAGGACAAACACAGGTTCTGTCCCAGGATCTCAAATCATAAGGAACCAGCTTTTGATGGTGGGTAAATTGAAGGACACTATATGATGAGTTACAAGTTAGGAATTGAGGCCTCCTGGGTTTGTATTTCCACTTAAAGCATATTATAAAAGACCTTTATGGCCTTCTCTTTCACCTGTTCCTACATGTTGTAACAAGTTTTCAATCAAGTGTTGCTATACAAAAATCCCATAACTACGTATACCAAAAATAACTAAAAGAGCTGCTCTTATAAATGAATATTTGTGACTGGTTTCACCAGAGCTGAGGGTGCTCAGCCATCTTACAGAATCATATTTTAAGCCCTGGATTGCAGCAGAACACAAGACTGGCTGAAGGCAGAACTCCAATTACCACAGTGCTGTGGCCTGTCTCTGTAAAAACCAGTTACTTATGACATAACTCTCTGTGACTTTAATAGAGTTATCACTAAGAACTGTTTAGAAGAGTTAGGGTTGGGGATTTTGACCTTCCTAACAAGAAGATTTTGGTTCCTAACAAGAAGAAATGCCAGTATAGCAGATGACAAAGCGTTGAGAGGAATTATCTGAAAGTAGACAAGAACTGCTCTAAGAAACACAACTTTGAAGTCCAGAAACTGAAACCAAAAATAAAGTGATGTAGTCCATATGGTCACATTTAAAGGTCTGCCAGCAGATCTATTTGAGAACCTGCTTTTCAGTGCTGGTAACTCATTCAACTGAATTTTGCCTCAGAACTAAAACATTCATACAAAGTCATAGCATGGAAACCAATTCTATTTAAAAAAATATATACATACTGCTGCTCTTATTTTCACAACATTTCAAATAAACTTGAATCAAACCTCTCTGCTTATGGGAGGCTGTAGCAATTTCTATCAGCTTTGCTAAGAATTACACAGTCCTTAGCAACTTCAGATTTTCATCTGCAATCACAATGCAACACCCTATTTCATGTGAACCTTGAAACATGGAACTCAGTAAAACTTCACTGTTTGCTCCTTCATGGATTCTCCTGATTTCTTCCCTTGCTACTGGAATATTCCTTGTGCCTTGACTGTTGTTCAGGTTCCTCTCTTCACTTTTCCTGAGTCACTGTACTATTCCCTGAGCAAAAGAGTTCTAGCAAATTGATCCCCAGAAGCCATTACAAGAGAGCAAAGAGACCCCTTAAGGATCCCTGTGGTTGCTCCAGCAGAGCAATCCTCAGCTGACTGCTTAAAACAATGTCGTGCTGCTGTAAAATGGGTCACAGAGGGCTCAGAGGTTGATTCATCTTTTTAAATACATAAATCTCAAAATATAGTGGAGCAGGGAATGTTCTGACCACATGGTGTCTGCTGGAAGAAGACAAAATTATAATGCAAAACCTGGGACTGAATTTTTCAGGCAATGGTGCTACTGGTTGTAAGAAACCAGAACAGTAAAATATGAGAAGCGTGCAGAAGAGGAAAGGTTGTACCAGGAAATTCAAACAGCTAGCAGCACCCATGTGTTAAAAGCATCCCCTAGTTAGTTAAACTTCTCTTTAATCTGACTTCTTAGGGTCAAATTCCATTCTTAGAGAAGCAGAGTGAGGTCTAGAGCAACTGGAGTTACTCTGCATTTACAGTGAAATCACTGGGCAAAGTCAAGGCTTGTGATGGTGTCCTGAGGCTCCTCACGTGCTCCAGGGAGTGGGGAAGGTCCTCTTTCAATAATTTTCTGATAGGTCATTGAAAAGTAAGATCCCTCCACGTAGGGATCCTCAGATTTAACTCCTGTCCTCGTTCTTTGGATGTGAAGCAACTCAAGTGGAGAAGAACTCAAATGGCAGCACATTAACATGCTCCTTTGGCTGACCTGCTCAGCACCCTCCTGCTGTGTCTCCAGGACAAAGTCCCAAGACCAAGAGGAACTGCAGGAACAGGCAAAGGATGTGGTTGCTGGAGCAGCAGAGCAGGAGGAACTGGCAGGGCCCTTTTGACAACTCTCTGGATTTCAGAGCCCTGACAAGTGTGGCAGGTTGTGCTCCCGGGAAAAGGGGGATGGCAGTGACACGGCTGCTGCTTCTGAGAGATGGAGAGGGCAGAGCTGTTCCTCTCAGCAGTAACAGCTGCCTTTCCACCCCTCCCAACCCTCTGAGGGCGGCAAAGCATCCAACTCAGTTCTCCAGGTCTCTTTCCTCAGATCATTGATCTAGTCCTCTCCTCCTCCTGATCCTCAGACAACTATTATCCCAGCAGAAACAGCTTGGCCCCGACTACTTTCCAGCCCCTCAGTCTTTAGACAACAGATGGCTCTGGAAACACCGATGTGTGAAGCATTTTCATGTGCCTTAAAAACTGCCTTAATTATGCAGCCTTGTCGTTAGGACTGGACAGGTGATTTAGATCTGAATATCTGAACCACTTCATAATCCAGCCATCTAAACCAACCCTGGGAACCTGGCAACTCCAGCAACAGGGATGTTTGCTGAGATCCTGTCAAGTTGTAGCTGTCAGAAATCTTGGGATTTTAAAAAAGCTTATATCCATGGCTTCCCAACAATATCTTTCAGGTGTGAATTTTCCTGAAGTCTGGCTACGTACAATGGAATGTTAAAAAGGTGCACTTGGGACACTCCGTATCTGTCCCATTTGCATTTATAGAATCATGGAATCATTTCTGTTGGAAAAGACCTCAAAGATCATCGAGTCCAACTGTTAACCCAGCACTGGCAGGTCCATCACTAAACCATGTCCCCAAGTGCCACATCTACATGTGTTTTAAATGCCTCCAGGATGGTGACTCCACCGCTGCCCTGGGCAGCCTTTGCCAGTGCTGGACAGCCCTTTTGGAGAAGAAATTGTTCCTACTATCCAACCTAAAGAAGAATATTCAATTTGAAGAGCTATAAACCATAACTGATATATGGACATTAATGTGTTTGCAGGCACAATTACAGGTGCAATGGGAGAACAGGGAAAACACAACAGTGTGCAACTGAGAAAACTAAACACGAGCTGCTGGAAAGACAAGGATAAATGGAATGGTAGAAATAAAGTGGTAAAAGAAAAGAATACCACAAAGCACAGAACTACCACAGGGTGACCATGCTCAAGAAACATCATCCCCAGCCAAGTACTTACAAGTAATAGGAGTAGGAATAGGCATTTCTTCTAAATATCGACGGCCAATCAGATGAACAAAATATCCAAAAGGAGAAAAAAAGAAAAGCACATAATTAGATTTATAAGAACTCTAGGATTCTTTTTCAATATACAAAGTATTTGTGCTGGTTTTTGTACTGAGTTACCATTTTCTTACACTTTTTCCAGGAGCTATATAGGGTGGTGAATAATAAATAGTGAGCTGGAGACGGGTTGTGTTTCACTGACTGGTGTCACCATGTATAAATCCCCTCACCTCTTTCTTCCCTCACTTTGCCACAGCAGTAACATGGATAATGAGACTTACTTTTGCCTGTTAAGTGCCTTGACATTTTTGAAATGGAAAGAAAGATGTCAGAGCTATTAATATAAATAACAATAAACAGGGGAAGCGCCAATGCGAGAACGCCACAATTTTGGAATATTTAGACAATGAGCAAATTGTCTAATGATAAATCACGCTTCATCAAACTCTGAAATGCAAATAGTTCATTACCAATTCAAGCATCACTCCATATTTAGAGCTGAGCACTGGGGGTATGCATGAGCTTTCTGCGTCACTGTGAGCAAGCATTTTCTACCACAGTTTTTCAACAATTCTCTCCGGAACATTTTGATATGTGTTTGAGCAGCGCCACAAACCGAGCCTTGGCAGTCAGTTAGAACTTAAGAGGTGATGTTTTCCCTTTCATAACTGGAAAAGGGCTCCTCTGAAAAGCTGGTTCACAGCAGATGTGGCCCAGGGTGTTACAGATCTCCCGCCAGGCACGAGGAGTCTCAAAAGCAGCAGCAACGGTCAAGACAGGGAAAAACAGGGAAACACAAACTTCAGTCTGCTGCACAACTTTAAAATCCAATCCTTGAAGACTCCACAAACACTAGGAATTGCTTAGAAATACAATTGCAGGGTTCAAGTGGTCACTTTCATGGTTGCTCTGAACACAAATTCCATAAGCACATGTGGGAACCAGACTCAGCACAGTCACTCTGTGCACACACGGGGCTAAGGACAGTTCATGAGGATTAAATGGAAATGACTTGGTTTTCCTGGAGGTGGCTCTTGCTATAAACCTGAAATTCTGGCCAGATTCCTGTTATTTTCCAAGCTACTGGAATGGCATGGATTCCAAGGTACACCTGAAGGTATTTTAACATAATTTTCTTATCTCTTGAAACCCAGAAATGCCATGTGCCATAGAATGCACCAGAAAGGTGCAGTGACTGCCACTGAGTTTCACTGTGGAATTCCAAGTTCCCAATAACTTCTGAACAAAGGGAAAAACAACCAGAATGTGTAAAATGAGAGCTCACAAAGCTGAACCTCCTACACCCCCAAAATCATTCCATTAAACCAACCCCCCCTGAGGCCAGGCCAGGTTTCACACAGGACTATCCACTGCAATTGTTCCCTTCAGCATCTTGTTGTTCTTTCTGCTGCTCTCCTGTCTCACCAGGAGACATCTGTGATCACACCAGACTCTCAGCTCTCATTAAAAGCTGCACATCCCTCCAGGCTGCAGAGGAAAGCTCAGAAAGATCTGCTCCATAAGGACAGAAAATAAAGGCAAGCAAAAGGAGGGTTATGTTTAGGAATTGGACAGTCCATTTTGGCTCAAATTCTCCTGAAATATGCAGCCTAAAATAAGGACTTCCTAAGGAATATTTCAAATCTTACTGTGAAAACTGGTCAGAGTTATGGTTCAGTAAAAACATGACCTGGTCCTAGAATGTATGAAACAACCCAAAAAGCCCTGGCTGTGTCCCACCTTAAATATGGACACAGGAGGGACATGGGGCAACAAATGTGTAAATACCCCTTCTGCTGATTCTATCCTACAGCTTGGGTATGCTCTGCCCAAGAGGCTTTGGGGTTTCATTTAATTAGTTTAAGGTAACAACCTAAATCCTAATCCAGAATAAGGAGCTGAATTTTCATAGAAGGAAATAATCCTAGACCCTACATAGCCCCAAATCTCCTTTTTTGCTACTGACAGCAGTTTAAAGAACTTATTTACAGTACACCCATGACAGGCTGTCTGATCCTATTTATTCAGCCTTATATTTAAGGGGTCAGTGGAGGCTTTGTCTGCTCAAACACACAAGCCTGAGAAGTGTCACATTCTTCACTCCAGGGAAATGCAAGTCACGATTACACAGGAATTAAAACTGTCCAGATGAAATCACAACTGACCAAAATCAAATCCTTTGGGGGGGCAAAGTCAAAAGGTATTTTCTCCTAAAGAGAAGTTTACAAATGTCTTGTTTCAGTTTGCTTTTACTAACCAATCCTGTATTCTCTGGTACACAAATATATTTAACTAATATTAAGGACAAAGAAACAATCTCCTTAGAGAACTGGAATTGTTTTGATACAATAAAAATGAGGTATTTCAAGATATGTATCTATTAATGAAAGAAAACAGTACTGCCTTCTATGGGCAAACACACTCAAGTGGGCACTGATCACCACCTATACATTAACAGGCTAAATTATCATAGAATCACTGAATGGTTTGGGTTGCAAGGGACCTTTAAGATCATCTCATTCCACCCCCTGCCAGGGCAGGGACACCTTCCACTAGCCCAGGTTGCTCCAAGCTCTGTCCAACCTGGCCTTGGACACTTCCAGGGATGGGGCAGCCACAGCTTCTCTGGGCAACCTGTGCCAGGGCCTCCCCACCCCCACAGGGAAGAATTTCCTTTTAATATCCAACCTAAACCCACTTTCTTTTAGTTTGAAGCCGTTCCCCCTTGTCCTGTCCACGACATGTCCTTGTAAATAGTTTCTCTCCATTATGTGGCAGCAATTTGTGTGTCATACACGTGATGATGATACTGTGATGTAACTCATGGAGCTACTGGGTTCCCAAAACCAAGAAAACAGATTTTGTAATTGATTCTGATTTTAGATACTGTAAGACAGTCATA